CACGGGGCTTGGTTGCACACGTGATTAATTCCTCTCTTTCTTTGTGCCCTCCTTTTTCATGTGTGGAGAGATGAGTCTTAGCAGGCTTTGGAGTAGCCGGCACCATTTCAAGGCCGCCAAATTCTCCATAGCACCATATATTTTCTTCTTCTTCTTTACCGTATACTGCATTTAAGCTTAACATGGTGAAGATTGAATGCCAAGGCAAGGTGAAGCAGAGCGCGGCAACTCTCCGTGGGATTAGTGAGCAATCCGACAGTATGTTACCATGTGCCTCACTCCGACTTGCTCGCTGGGGCCATAGTCTTTTCTGCTGCTTGCCTAGCACACTGAAATAAAGGATACTAATCGATTCTCACATGGTACCATTGCTTCCTTAGGCTTGACGTAGTAGTTTTCCTCGTACTGCCTGATATAATTCATCTTGGCCTGCTTGGCATAGTTCAATCCACCACTCAGACCTCTGAGTACAACACCTACGCCCCTCTCGGTCTTCACGAGCTCGAGTTCGGGTCCAAACCCAGCGCTGCAGTGCAAATGAAACACGACATCAGCTTCACAACTTGGGCTCCCAGTATTAAGTGAAAAAACACCGAAGTCGACGGTAAATATTAAATTACTTTATTACTAAACACCGAAGTCGATAGTAAATATCAAATTACTTCATTACTATCTCCTACTGACACCAGGTGATTATATTGTATTTTTCTTTTCGCAATTTTTAGGGCGAGACTATTTTGCCGGCAGCTGGAACAATATCCCGGGGGATAAAATGCCGGCAGCTTCGGACAGCGCGTGTATTACTGGGGAGTTTGTTAACCGACCCCCCACCTGCGTTCACGCCGCTTTGTGGCAACAGTCTGCAGCTGCTCATTAGAAACATATTAGGGAATATTAGCGGTGGCCCAAGCCCCGCTGTTCACCCCCGGAAAAGGAGTCGACACCATTTAGCTCAGCACAATTTCGTCAACAACATTTTTGTTTCAAAATAAACAAAAAAAATCATGAAAAAATTGTTTTTATGATATGTGACAATTAATGACATTTTTATTGCCATTTTTCGTATGTCTTGTTTAAAGGTTTCCCATTTCTGACCCCATCCTTCTTTGGTGCACTCAACTATGTCTAGGGCTGATTCTATGCCTCGTTCAAAATCATCATTTTCAAGGAGCCTTTCGTTCATTTTCCATAGTGACCAAGACTGTGGTTTTCTATTCCCCCCACCCCCCCCCCCCCCTCTCCCTGGTGTTTTTATACCTACACGAACTTGTACCACAGAGTGATCAGAAAAAAAAGGCAGGGTTCACGCTGTAGGTACTCAACGCGGTACTATTACTGAAGCAGATATGTATATCCGATCTAAACGTGCATAAGACGATCCTTGAAAGTGTGTGTAACAGGGCATGTGATTTGCGGTGGAGTCTATCAAGTCACAGTCTCGAATCAGTGATCTTCAAACTTCCACACTTGGATCTAGGATGTTTGTTGATGGAACCCTGTCTTTATTTAAAACACAATTAAAATCGCCCAATAGAATGACGCTAAATCTAGTGTTGCCATGAATTCTGGCTTGAAAAAAAAAGGCTTTCCCTCTGCGCTGGGTTATTGTATCCATATACAACAATTATCTGCCAAAGCTGGTCTTGCAAGAGTATACTATTAGCTACCATGAGGCGACCACCATCAGTCCCTTTGAAAATACTGCATAGTTGGTACTTCATATCTTTTTTAAACAGAATTGCACACCCCGCCGAGTACTCAACAGCGGGACAGTGGAACACATCGTAGGAATCTATCCATAAGCTACATCCAGGAAATAGGGGATTTTGTTTGGACACTTTTGTTTCTTGAAGGGCCACAATGTCACTGTCATATTTCTGTACAAAGCGAAAAAGTTGGTATTGTCTTTTCTCGAATTTATCCCTCGCTCATTTATCGTGGATATAATAAAGCGACTTATCTGGGTGGTCATGGTAGTGCTAGCTCCTATTTCTTTGTGCCAAGTGCGGAAGCTGCCGGAATGATGGTTTCCCGGTCCTTGAATTTGGGCTTCAGCCACGGCTCTTTGGGCTCCAGTCGAATTGCGACTCCTTTGAGTCCATTGGAATATTAGTGGCCTCAGGTTCTTCTAGCAAGTTGTCGCTGATGTTAACTTCGGCTCTCTTAAAGTGCCTTCCTTCCTTCTTGCCAACCTCAGTCGACTTCTTGGTGTGTGTGGATTGTCAGCATCACAGATTTATACTTCCCACCAAGGTAGAACTGTTACTGTACAACTCTTTGTTTTATTCACATATCAGCTATGGCTACTTTGTTTGGGGGACGACAGGTCTGACCAACTTAAAAAAAATACACCGACTACAAAAGAAAATAATGCGCACTATTTGCAACTCCCCTTATGTCTCATTCTTCACCTATCTTTCGAAAGCTTTCCGTAATAAAAATTTGCAATTTATACGATTACAGGCTAAGTCTAAGCTATATATATGACATAAAAAGAGGCACTTCAAACTTGATTTCACTTGCCTTCCTGACTAAAAACACGAAAGCTTATGAAACGCGCTGCAGACTACTGGAAGGTTGAAAAATGCAGAACCAACTATGGAACCCAGATGATGAAATATCTACTCCCAAAGTTACTTAACAGTCATATTCAACAAGAGAGTAACCTACGCCACATTTCCGCGAGGAAACAGCGTTTAACCTACGTATAATTTTGCTTTGTCCTAGCCCTTGTTTTAATAGTGCTTCCAATCGCCTTTTTCCGTGACTGCCGATTTATGTCTGAAGAGCGATTGTTTTTTTTGTTAATTCTGCGTGTGCTTATTATACGTTGTATTTACTACGCACTGCATTTAGACATTTTTTCGCATTTATTGTGCTAGCTTTTTATATGTCATTTAGTGTTTCGCTTTTTTTTTCCATTTTTTTACTTGCCGGCATTGGCTTTGTGACAATTCTTTTTATACCTGTGTTGTTGTTTTTTTGACATGCTACGCATTTATAGCGCATATTCTTATTTTTTTCGTGACTCTTTATACTTACGCTCTTTACAGCTCTTTTTATATGTTATAGTACTTTTTAGAAAGTGGACGTTGCAATTTTTTTTCATTTTTGGCACTTTGTTTTTTAGTGCTTTTTGTTATCATGAATTTTTTGTATCTGTGATTGCCCTGCGAATTTGTAGGTCACCAATGACCTAGTGTGATTACCTTGTAGGATGGCTTCCATGTTTCTGCATTTCTGCATCAGTGGCTCGATTTTGCTCCTTATGTACACTAACAAAAACTTTTTGCTCATCCACTGTCTGTAGGGGGTCGAGGACACGTCAAGCTGCTCTATAGCAGCTTTTTTCCTCGGTCTCCCCCATCTTTGATAGAAATAAAGGCAATTAATATTATTATTTCTCACTTCTTTTCCGTTCCTGGTTGTGGCATTGGGATGTCTACATCGAACCTGTGCTCCTCCATCAAACTTTTGTTTGAACTGCATAAGGGCTCTTCGCTTTCGGTTGCTGGTTCCTTCCCCGCCAGCGTCGGTTGGATTTCCTCATTGCACATTTCTTCTACGTCCGTTATGTGCTCGCTATGATCAGCTTCTGGTGTTATGATCCCCTGGAGTTTGGAAGCGTACGTCACAACGCATTCTTAGTTTGTGTGACCAAACCTCCAGCACTGCATGCACCGAGGAGTGCAGCATTGTCGACGGATGTGCTAGATTCCTTTGCACCTAATGCAGAGAGGTGGTCTTCCGGGGATGACAATGAGCGTGTTGGTGCCGTACAGATTTAAGAGGTGCGGGATCTTATCGACTGTCAGGTCCTGCTTCAGGACGAGCATCACTTCTCGGGTAGTAGTTTCGAGATCTTCAAGCCCTGAGGATCTCCATGTTTCTCTTTTCATCTCCCTGATTTTCCCAAAGGGCTCTAAAACCTTTTTCGCCTCTGAGTCTGGCATCGGGATTGGCAGCCACAGAAGCTTCAGTTTGATCTCCTCTTTGCACGGATCGATGATTATGCACTTCTTGCCTTTGATGAGGAACTCTTCGTATGCCTTGATCTTGAGCTTGGCAGCAGCATTTACGAAGGTCACCATCCATACGTGACTCATTTGGTATGGGCCTAGGCCCAGGACTTCCTTCCGATCAACGACAGAAAAGATAGCTTCCTTGAAGTTGCTTGCCTTGCAAGGCCTTCCGGTGATGTCGGCATGTAGAAGTAGAGTTTGTGACGAGTATACCTTGCGGTAGTCTTAATAGAATAACCTTGTAGTCCGAGATTCCGAAGTCTTCTTAAAAACCCGGCCGTGAAATGCCGCGAACTGCTCCCGGTGGAGCTCATCTCTCTCCTCGTAGACGACGTTGCCGTAAGGCGGAATCTCTTGAGGGGGCGGTTCATCAAATGCTACTCTAGCGACTAGTCGGGCGCCACGAAGCGGCGTTTACGTACGTGTGGGCCAACACACACACACACACATGTGGGTTCACATTTTTGTAATGAGCCGCCGCACTGTTGCCGCGAAGCGCAGCGGGTGGGTTAACGCGCGCCCCCGTTATTCCCCCGGAGGCTCCGCCTTATTGCAGGGGGCTGCTCCTGTGTTGCAGACATGACGATTAAGGACTGAAGCTTATAGGACCGATCTTGAGATTCCGCGCGTTTTGTTCACCAGCTAATGAAAATAAAACCTTCAAAATACCTGCATACGCCCCACCGACCATTGGATTGGCTTTAAGTGCTTTAAGTTGGCTATTCTCATCGTTTTCCTGAGGTTTAATCATTATTTTAAAAAAAACACACACACACACACTATATATATAAGGTATAAATAAAACAAATTGCGTGAGTTTTTGTTGTTTTATTTTCAATGCGCATTTTACATTACGAACATCGCGAGCAGAATGAAATGAACAAAACAAGTCTTTAGGTTTTAAGCCAGTGAACAGGCCAGAAATAAGCCAGGAATAGCCAGGAACAGCCAGAAAGCCAGGAAGGAGAGAGAGGAGAATAGAAAGGAGGCTAAGGTTGTCGTTCGCCATCTTGAAATGTTGACGTGAGATTCTTTCGCGAAGAAAGCGCCCGACCACACAAAAACACTCCAATATCGCACGCTCGACTTCGTGTCGCGCCGCGAACTATAACTCGTTGAACCTACGACGGTACTTGTGTCGAAAAGCAAGGTAAGCTTCTGGCCCCCAGAAGCAACGGCCGGTGATGGTTTCCCCTCGACTGCCGAGATTGGAAGCCTTGGGTCTCGCAGCCTTTTTGCGGTTGCTGCGTGTTTAGGGAAAACGCCGTAGAGACGGAACCGTGGGGTCACTTGTTCCGTTTTTGTCGTGCCCCTGGCCGCGTGCTTTTTCAAAAAACATCTTTCTCGATCTACGCACGCCCCACGAACAGAGCGCATCCTCGCGCCCCAGGGAGCCCGAGATGAGCGTGGACTACGCTCACGAGTACGGCGGTGGCATGGACACCGGCGCCTACGACGGGGTCGCCTTGGCACCGTCGAGCGGATCCAACTTGACTGGTTCGAGGGACGAACGCTCCCGGGACCGAGACAGGTGAGATCGTGGATTGGGGCACGGTTCGAAGGTTCTCGAGCCGTTGGCGTTGCACCTGTATCGGGTTCGATGTTGTCCGATGGGTCCTAGTTTTAATTTAGAATCGCAATAAATACCACGTGCAAAATTAAAAGAAAAAGAAAATAGTTTCTTTTATGGTTCGATTTTGAGAGTGAGCGAAAAATGCGAAAATTTGATGTCGGAAGAAAAAGGGCACAGGAGAAGACGTCTATAATGCAGATAAATCGTTTATTTGTTTTCGCTCCTTATACATCTTCCAAAGACACGAACACTTGCACTCCCGGACAAACACTTCGTTCAGAATGCACAGATTGTTAATTTTTTTCTCGCAACAGTTTCGGGTTTAAACATAAAGATGAACTATCACCAGCTCGCCTGTACACTCGCTGTCTTTGCATTAATTAAAGGAATACTTCAGCGAAATTTGAAATATACCTATCGTGTTCAGAAATAGGCAGAATATGATTCTCAATATCCGGAAATGACAATTTCAAGTTTGTATTTTCAGCCTGATGGCCGTATTTATCATTATAAACGGCCCACTCTGGCAAGCGCTCAGAAAGCGGCCAGCGGAGAGTATGTGACATTCGGCGCAGTCGTGGCATAGATTGTCGCGGGATGAGCAAAGGTGCGACGATTCCCTAGCCGTTCCAGCCAGCGAAGCAGCCGAAGGACACCAGTGATCGGGCCGCCGCAACTAACCGTAAAGCTGCCTTTGTATGAATTTTGAGTGACGGGTTAATCACCTATAATCTCGTAGAGTAGGGGCCTCAAACACTCTGCCCGTGACTCCCTGGGACGCGGCCCCCAGGTAACCGGCTACTAGTCCTGAATCCCATGCCTCGAGTGCTAGAAATGGCATGCACCATAGTGATCTCATCTCGTTGACTCATATTCACTCGAAAACTAGCTCTGCTCTTCTAATGTATTCACATAGTTTATATTTTTCTGTGTTCATTTACCTTTTTTTTTTTTTTTTTTCCTATTTTTTGTTTCCCACTTTTTTTGTAATGTACAACCGTTCCGCTACTGGGCTGCAAGCGCGAGCTATTCGTTGAAGGATGCATTTCGGCTGCGTGAACTCTCGATCAGCCGGAGCAACTGCCAAAGTTAAAGATACGAGCTCAGGATTCTCGCCTTCAAAAAAATATCACCATTAAACGACAATTATTTTCTGAGAGTGTTGTAATGAAAATCGTCGGGAAAGCAAGAACTGCCAAACTAACTGATTGTTTTTTTAGAAACATGTTTAGCTTGGTTAGTTCCTGAGTGATTTGAGCAACGAGAACGGCGGTGTGGTTTTTCTCTTGTTCCATTAAAAATGGCAGTTAGTTGGCGGGGCAGTGTCATTTTAATTCTCGTGTCAGTTCAGGTCAGGGCCCAAAGTGGTCATGAGACAAATGGAATTGAAAGAAGTCACTGGCAAAACTGATTTTACCACAAGCATAAAGAGCGAGGTCTCTTCTCTTTAAAAGTTTCTGTGAGTAGTGAATTTTAAAGAAAAAAATGAGAGGTGCAATTCTCTGTAATACCGAATTAGAGCCCAGCTCTTGAGGAGGAGGAAAGAAGGGGGGGAGGGTATGCTTCTCCATACCCTGCCCTCCTCCTTTCCTGCTCCCCTGCAATTTAGCAAGAAGTTTTCGCTAAATTTAGCGGGGCAAGTCGATTGGTGTTGAGCTCATGTGACGTCAATTTCCCCGCTAAATTTAGCAGGGAAATTTTTCTGCTAAATTTAGCAGACAACTTTTTTTGCCGAATTTTACGTGATGCAACATTCATTCACGTGACGTCACGAGGGTAAGATTTCTCGGCTAAATAAGGCGTGCAATTTTTCCGCTAAATTTAACAGAAAGCTTTCGCCGCTGAATTTAGCAGAAAAATTTTCTGCTAAATTTAGCGGAAAAATTTTACCCTCGTGACGTCACACGTGACGTCACATTAATTCATGTGATGTCACAAGGGTAAAACTTCCCTGCTAAATTTGGCGGGGAATATTTTTTCTAAATTGAGCGGAAAAGTTTCTCCCTAATCTAACGGGAAAATTTCCCCCCTAAATTTCCGACCAAATCTAACGGGAAAATTTTTTCCTCATGACATCATACGTGACGTCCCGTGCGACATCATTATGTGAAACGTCCCATAATGCAGCGTGCGGTTAAGGCGACGCCGACGTCGCTCAACCTGGGAAGGGGTGTCTAATGGTACGTTTACACTTGCGGATCTGCCAGCAGATCCGCCCAGCTTTTGCCGCTGGGGCGAAACGCTGGACGGAAAACGCGGCGGCGAGCTGTATAGGTCGGGGATCTATTTCTGCCACCGAACGAGGCGTTTCGCTGACTGGATGTGTGCTCTAAAGCGTATAACATGGTACCACTGCAGCCTATTTATGCGAACTGAATGCGTAGCATAGGTTAGAGGTCTGCACGGGCCGATATTAAAAGCCTTACCCAGCCCAGCCTGCTGTCTCTTAGGCCCGGGTCCGCCCACGGCCCGCTGTTCATTTCCGACTCGGCTTGACGGTAATTTTGAGGGGCCCGCTAAGACATGCATTATTTTCGTCCAGTATGCATAGTTCACAGGTTGTGCGGCATGGCAGCTCACTTGCCACCGTTACACATGTTGACTACGGTACCTGGTAGTCAATGCAGCAAGCATCCCTTTTTTTTTATTTTGCTGCTACAAGTTAGATAAATCTGCAGGCCTAGGTGGCTCATTAAAAAAAAAAAAAGAAACAATCGCTTATCAAAAAGTAAGGAAAAATAAAAATAGCAAGCAGCAGTAAACAAAACCATGTGCCAAAGCTGAAAAAGAAGGGAAACATTGCAACGGGTTTGAACAAAAGACGGCCAAAGTTTTATTTGCCCACTACTGCTGTGTACAACCGAAAAAAATATGTAAAAAATACCGCCGTTTATTGCGGTGGTCTATGGGAAATTGTTTAAGAAAAGCACTCCTAAGGGGAACCTTTTCACCCATATTGTGGATGCACACACTCGTACGTGAGATGGTTTACGCTTGCGGGGGTGTGCATCATGTATGTGTGCGTGTTGATGGGGAGGGTGGTTCTCATTTGAACCCATTTGCATTTCTACCTTCTCGTTTTCATCTTCTCATTTCAACCCAGTGCAAAACAACTTTCACTTTTCCCCCTTTTTCACTTTAACCGTTCTCAAAACATGCTTTCTGGTTTTGACCATTCTCAAAGATACTTTTTCTCATCTTAACCGTTCTCATTTCAAACTTACTAAAAACATACTTTCTGGTTTTGACCATTCTCAAAACGACTTTCCTCATTTTAACCGTGTACATGATCAGGCTAGGGAAAGAGAAAAATTTCAGCGTACACTCACGGGAAACCGAAATAAAAGAACCAATGACATTATGAAGTCCAGGCACCTGAAGCTCTATGGCCCCTTGAAATGCACCTTGGAGAATGACATCTAGAGGTCATGCCAATCCACGGCATGACGGACACATAGGCAAATATACAATGATCGTAGATCTGTAGAACCACTCCGACACCGGTTGTAAATAATTCGATAGCCTCACAGGGCCTGCCAGATGAGCATAATTTGCATCCGATGATTCACGACTGAAACAAAGAAAAAAAAAGCTGTGGCTCGTAGGAAAGCCCTCAAGCCACGCAATATCCGCCCCTGCACATTTAAAAAAAAGAACACAAAAAATGCTGCAGCTCCCAACGCGTTATGGCGTGCACACCCTTCAGCATTGGAGCAATGAACACTCCCTAGCGTAGACGTGCTCATCTCAAAGAGTATGCACATAATGCTCGCAATTTCGACGTGACCACCGAATCCGAATTAATCCAACATTATGATCTCGGAATCTTACTGCGGTACTTACAAGCAATAACACGCAGCGATCACAATGATCCATCCGCCCCACAAGATGGCAAAGTAACGACATCAACAGCGCCAGAGGAGAAATTAAGTATCGAAATCGTGCATAGCCCATGAAACAATTTTCCTTGTGCCTGCATGCCGCCCCGAGTGCCACTTTGCAGCGTCCCCCTTTGCTTCACCTTCAACCTTCATCCGCAACTGTTCCTCTTTCTTTCTATACCTCACTGTCCTTTCTTTTGAGCATGTTGTTCAAATACGGTGTTCAAATGAGAAAGGGTCAAAACGCGAAGGGCGTTTTGCGAATGGGTTCAAACGAGAATGGTTCAAATGAGAACGGGTTCAAATGAGACGGGTATGAATGAGAAAAGGTTGAAACGCGAAAGGTTATGACGCAAAGGGAGTTTCGTGAATGGGTTCAAACGAGAAGGGTTCAAATTGGAATGGGTTGTTTCGAGATACACCCGATGGGGAGAAGCGATTTTGCGACAACGCCGTTACCGGCGACGAAAATGAACGCAGCGTTGCTGCCGCATAGGTCGGCATTTTAGAGCCCCTTCATTCACCATCACATCACAAACAGAATCACGTCTCCAAATTCATTCGCATTCACGTCACGAGGTACTCCGACCTCCCAAAGTCACAGCCCTTCACATCCCGGCGTTCAACCGCACCAAAACTTCATCCCCTTCACATCACGGCGTTCAACCGTGCCAAAAATTCATCCCCATCGCGTCACCGCCGCCTCCGAATTCACGGAGTCATTAACTATCACATCACCAATTCCCGAAGTCAATCACCATCACCACAAATTCATCGGAATTCACCATCGTGAATTCATCGAAATTCACCGTCACATCATGAATTCATCCGAATTCACCATCACTTCACGAATTCATCCGAATTCACCATCACTTCACGAATTCATTCGAATTCACCATCACTTCACGAAGTCATCCGAATTCACCATCACATCATGAATTCATCCGAATTCACCATCACATCATGTATTCATCCGAATTCACCATCGCATCATGAATCCATTTGAATTCCACGAAGTTATTCACCATCACGGTCAACACAAATTCGCCAGGATTCACCATTACATCATGAATTCCGCATAATTCACGAAGTCATTCAGGTTCATTCTGACTAAATTCGGCTTCACGGATGGTAGCCCTTTACGAGTTCGCAGTTCGTGTGGAATAGGACTGTGGCGCCTTTTTGTGTCAGCCACTTGAAATCAGGACCTGACTCCGTCAAGGAAGTGGGGTATCTCGAGTGCGCAAAACACAACCTACATTGATAGAGCGCCAACCCAGCAAATGCTGTGCTGCGATCGTGTCACATGAATGTGCTCCGTGCGCCGCCGCGCGGAACCGGGAGGTCACATGATATGGTCTCGGCGCCGGATTAGGTGCACCCGCTCGTGACGTCGGCTTCGGCTTCGTATCTTTTGAAACGATATATGGCTGCGCCGCGTAGACGAAGCGGCGCTTGCTGCTATTAGTCCCCGCTGACAGCACGGCTGCGCCACGCACGACTCACGAGCGAATCGGCACAGCGAGAGCCTTCAGAGATTCCGGACCATATGCCCCGAGACACGAAGGACAAGGTCGGCAAGGAGCTCCATTGATTCACGAGGAATCGCTCAGAACACCGGCAAAATTAAGTGTCAAGTGTCAAAAAAAAAAGCAACTAGCCCCCCACCTTCTCCTCCCCTTCATTGCCACTGCCACCGCACTTCCCTTATAAACAGCTGTTACTACGAAATTGCTCGACAAAGGGCCACCGCACTGAGGCACGCACGGCTACGCAGCGAGACTGAAGACCAAACCGCTAAAGTCAAATATGTTCCTGTGGTTTGCGGTGAAGGATGAAAACAACCGGCAAGCAAGAAGCACCTGCGTAACATGTTTTCCGCCTATTCTGAATGCATAACCGCATTCACTATCACGTCAAGAATTAAGTTCACGGTGTTACTTCCCATCACAAACTTACCAAGTTCACGAGCCACGCACATCACAAATTCATCGTGTTTACGAGCCATTCTCCATCACGTCGCGAATCCATTGAGTCATTCACATCACAATGAATTCTATTCACTTCACAAAGTCCTTCACAATCACAACAGATCATGAGTTCATTCAAATTCACGAAGTCATTCACCATCACATCACAACATCATTCAACATCACATCACGAATTCATTCAAATTCACAAAGTCATTCACCATCACATCACGAATTCATTTAAATTCACGAAGTCATTCATCATCACATCATGACTTCACGACTTCATTCACCATCACATCACGAATTCATTCAAATTCACGAATTCATTCACCATCACATCACAAATTCATTCAAATTCACGAAGTCCTTCACTACCACATCACGAATTCATTCAAATTCACAAAGTCATTCACCATCACATCATGATTTTTTTCGAATTCAAGAATTCATTCAGAGCCATTCAGATTCACGCCGTGAATGTGAATGAAGGTGAATGAGCGAGTTCATGAATGAATTTGCCGAGGTATGGTTGCTGGTGCTCTGAAAGAGCGTTCAGCGCACACACACCGAACTGCACTAATGGATATGCAGATATGCATGCATGCTTTTAGCATTTAAATCTCAAAACAGATTGCTGCTAGAAAAAAAAAAAGAAGTTACGGTTGGTTTGGCTTCTTTTGGGACCCGCCTTGGAAGGTGACCACTAAACCGCGATCAGGTTTTCGGATGCCAGTTTCGAAGGCCAATTCGTTTTGGAACAGGGCCGCTGTTTATATATATGTTCTTTTATCTTTATGTGCTGCATTTTCCTGCTAGAGACATGGTAGGAGTGGAGAGAGCAAAAGCGCAACTGTTGTGCTTTCAACAGTGCCTTAAAATATGAAAGTGTAACATCAGTAGAGCATCAGGAATAGGTTTGAAAATGAGCAAACGAAACCCAACACAAGCTGCGTAGGAATGCGAGAAACCATATACAAAACAGTATGACTAAAGAAACAAGTTTCAAGTAACTACCGTATAAACCGGAATATAGACTCTTTGCAGCAGCTGTGCATGGACGCCGCCATAAATGACCTTCAGTTTTTGTTTCCTCTTATTCCGTTTATTTCACTTCATCATTACCATGGCAGGCCAGGTTATTGCCATATTAGATTCAACTGTGTCCTTTTCTAAAGCATCGGCCTTTGTAGAGGACCGTCAACTACCGTTTCAGTTGCTCGGCATCTCGGTAAGACAAGAGAAGGTCAGCAATGGCGGCTGTAATTTGGCGCGTGTGTAAAGCGTTTATAGGTTGAATTTATTTTTGAAAATGGACCTGAAAAACTTTACCCTCGTCTTATATAACGGTCACTAGTGTAAAAACAAAAATAATCTCTCAACACTAGGTGGCTGAAGCTGCCATCTTATTTTTCTTTGCAATCGCCTAGCTGTCGTCCACTTGCCACTATGGTCACAATTCACTTTCACTTGTGCTCCTTGGTTTGTTACATCTACTGTTGCCTCTCCCGGAGTGATAGTGAGCAGAAGTAGAAGGCAGTTCACGGTAGCCTTCAAGAAGACAGTCGCCTATGCAGAGATCCACAGGAATCTTGCAGCGCAGCGAGAGTTCGGTGTATCGAAGAAAAGCATACGCTACTGGCGAGGCCAGAGACAAAAACTGGCAACGTGCAGCAAGGCGAAGAACTTCATTTCGTGGAAGGACTGCGGTGTACCCCGAATTGAAAACAAAGGTGGCAAATTTTATTTGGGATCTGTGCACCAGATTGCTACCTGTGACATTGGAGTGCATCCGTACGAAAGCCGTTAAAGGGGCCCACCAACAATTTTTTGACCGGTTTGAAGTTCGCGCTGAAACGGAGCTCCATGAAAGCAGGAACACCGAGGAAAAAAAATATTACACAAATTCGCAATATTTTGTGAGTTATTAGCAAATTAAATATTGCAGAAAACAACTTTAAATAAGCAAAACATAGCGCTTCATGACGTAAAATGAAACAGTTTAGTGATTGGAGCAAAGCGGTTGGCCAATTGGACGCGAGTTTGGTTGATAGCCCGTCGGCCATTAGGCCTAGCTGCAACCATCGTAGCTTTGGGATCGGGTTGCCGTCATCGATGAATTTACCGGGCTTATCGGATTTTTAGTGCGGATTTGGGTGTCGCGCCGTATGAGGACACTCCACGCAAGCGCCGCGTCTCTGCCTCAGTCCGCTTCGACAGCCGCGGAACACTCGTCTCCCGCAACTCCGCCACCGGAGCCACCTCGGCGAGTAGGAGGGAGAAACTGGTGAGCGGTCCCGTTGGGCACCGGTCCCGTCGCTGCACTTCACTCGAACAGTGAAAAGTCTGTCACAGCACTAAAAGAAAATAAGGGTTCCCCTGGCTCCTCTTACTGCTTTTAGTTGACCGGGACCGGGGGCGCACAAGTGAAAATACGATGCGCGTTGTGTGCACGGATCACTTGTCGTCTGCTCGCGATGGTACGTCGCGGACGCCGCTGGGAGGCGCGCATGAGCGACAAGGCGTTGTTTTTGCCCTTTTTGAACTTTACTTTGCAACTTTATTAGCTCTATAAAAATGACTTGTTAGAGAAATAATGACGGTTAACGTGTGATATACTTTATTTCGCTTCAAAATTCCTGGGACGGCTCTCGCCAATCACGAAACCCAGAGAATGTGACGTATAGTGAAAGGGAGCGCCGTTATGCGCGCGCATTCGGCACTTTGCGGCGCCACCGTCGGAGGAGGTGTTTCCGAGTTGTCAAATTAAAATACGATGCGCTAATATTTTCAAACTCTTTCGTTGTCCACTGGATTTCCGGGACCACTAGCGTGTAGAAACCGCAAAAAAAAGTCGACGCTCAAATACTGTTGGAGGGCCCCTTTAAGGTCGATCGTGCCTCCGGGCTCTTGAGGGCGCAATTTAAAGGGACTGCATCGTCCCTTTGAATTTCGTTAGTGAACTTGTCGTTGGATGAAGGTCTGAAGAATCTGAGTAGTAACGCTCACGCACTTTCTGTTTTATTGCATGCGAAGCAATTAAATAAACGTGCCGTGTTTTCTCGTCCTTCCATATACTTCGCCAATTTTTTTACCAAGGTAAGGTTGCACTTTCTTGCCATAAAATCTTTTTCCTTTTTTTGCAACTTGTAAATTAGGGGGTCGACCAATATTCCAGTTTATACGGTACCTAGACAATTATCACAATCTGATATATTATGTGAGTTAACTATTTCTGCTGGTAATATGTTCCAATCCCGAACTGTTCTCTGAAAATATAAATACTTAAAACTATTCAGTGAAAGCCCGGCATTTAGAAAAAAATGAAATGGACTGCTCCTCTTTGTACTCTTTCGGATACATGTCTGAAACATGCTTACCATTTGTATCCTACTCCTCACAGGGACCGGCGGAGTGAACGGAGCCGCGGCCGCGAAAGAGACTACCGCGGCAGCGACCGTGATCGTGATCGAGGCGATCGGATGGAGCGTGGTGTGGACCGCAGCATGGACCGTGGACCGGACCGTGGACCGGACCGCGGACCGGATCACCGCGGCGGCGACCGCGGCAGCGACCGAGGCCGCGACAGAGACCGTGACCGGGACAGGGACTTCCTCGACGCCGTGTGTGCTCGTTGCCTGTTGCCACTGCGTGGCACGTCACCGGGGCTCAGGCGGCGTTAACCGGCATGCCCGCCCTCTCCTTCCCCTCCCTCTTGACCGCAGTCTCCCAACAGCCGGGACATCGCAGCCCGCGATGTAGACTACCGGGAGTTCAACGAACCGCCTGACCGGTACCGGCGGCGGGAGGCTCACCACAGCGGCGAGGACGACAGGGACCGCTCGCGACGGCGGGAGCGGGACTGGGACCGGGACCGGGATCGCGACAGAGACTGGGACCGCGGCGACCGGGACCGCAGTCGGGACCATTCGTGGGAGCGCAACATGCGAGACCGGGGAGGAGAGAGAAGGGAGGAGATCCCCAACAACACGATTATGGTCCGGGGCATGCCCATCGAGACCACCGAGCCGGAGGTGAGACGGTCCCCGCCGGTCTGTAGACCGCCAACCGCGGCACCCTCCGACCCCGACGCGCGCCCCGTTTGTCTTGCAGCTCAGAAACGAGGTTACTCGCTACGGCCTTGAGCCCAAAGACATCCGTCTGATGAAACGCAAGGACACAGGTGAGAACCTGAGCCGACGTCTGGCTTTTTCTGCTTTTTGTCTGGGAAATCGGGTTTCGGCCTTTTTGGGTGAAGGAGTTAGATCTTTGAGTGTTTTGCTCTGCTTTCCTCAAAAAGGAGTTGGTCAAAAATCACTAGATTGTCTTCTGTTATATTCTCTCCATGCTTTGGTACATCTGTTGCACTCTGTTATCCTTAAAGGGACACTGACTGGGTATTTATGCTCGCCAAGGTTTTTATTTGTACATGGCATGTGAGAGCCCAGCTACCTAGGACACAATTTGCTGCTCGAAATTCGCTTTCTTTTCACCTGAAACCGTCGGTTGAGAACTGGCCAGTTTGAGTAGCGCTCACTCTCTTCTCTGTGGTCACATACAGTTCTGTATGGTTTAGACAAACACATCAAATATTAAAAGTCGTGGGTCATCGAAGGCACGCACCCAATATTATTGATAGAAAAAATTATGATACCCATTTTCAAGGCTTCTAGAAAGCTGCTAATACGTTAATTAAAAAAAAAAAAAAAAGATTTGCACAGATAATTGAAAGCACTCTGCATAATTGTCAACATGACGTTGTGCTGGGGGCTGTACGGCTGAATGAAGCGGACTGTGCGATGATGGCAGGCATGGGACCTGTACTTCAGAACTGTTGGTCTCAGTACCGGTGAATCTGCCTAGCTTCGAAAGAGAGATTCTTTACCGATCAAAACATTTAGGATTTATTCCGTACGACACTCCCGACCAGCAAGCTGATTCGTACGAGGACGTCGCCGAGTTATTGTCCCTTCTTCTGGCTGAAGACGTAGCTCGTCTTACGAACAGGAATCGGTAAAAGCTTGAAAAGCGTGCAAACCTGACGTGCAAGTTTTTCTTCTGCTGCGCGCACCCAAAAACACTAAGGAAAAAAAAAAAAATGTGGTCGGGTGTACTCATGTGATTTGCTGATACTCTCTCCTTCTCTGCATTTTTTCTTCCTCCCCGGTCCAGTTTTGGTTTTGAGCAGCTGCATTTTCTTACTTTATTAAGGGGCAACTCCGCTCAATTCCAAAATTTTTAGGCTTACATGCACTACTAAACAGCCATACGTCTCCAGATTCGCGAAATGTGGAATATTATTTCTCTAATCTTAGTTTAAACATCAGCAGATATTGAAACCAAAACTTCGGTTGTGACAGGCAACGCTGGTTTCGTGCCGTCAGAGTCATGGCCATGTCACGTCCAACCACGTGATCCGAAAGGTCACGTGATCCTCCATGAAATGGCGGGCGAACGTAGAGCAAAGCGCAAGTGTCGTCTGCTCCGCAATTTTCGCCAATGTAGTTTACTACAACATCCAAAGACGTCTGCACCGCTGCGGCCCGAGCTTGCGCTTCGGGTTAGAATCTCGACAGAGGTGCCCGCAATTTAACGCGGGCTTATTGCCGCGAAGGCGCCGTGTAGCCGAGATCTCGGTTACACGTCACAAGATCCCCAGGTGGTCCAAATTAGTCAACAGGCCTCTGCTTGGGTGTGCCAGATGCCCTTTGTAGGTTTGGCACATAAGGCTCCAACTTCAGCGTTATTTTACCGAAAAAAGCCGTGTATTCGCGCCTGGTCTCTACAGGCGCGAGACATGTGCTCGTACACTGTGAAACGGCCGGCACGTAGTGCTACCGACACGGTGGTCGTTTGACTGTGTATATGTCGCCTGCTTTAGTAGCTCAAATGTGTGCCTTTATGAAGCTGTGCGGCAGACTACACGTTTATTGTCAATAGCAAAATAGTTGGTGAAAATAATGAATGCCGTGATAAGTATGCTCCCGTGCACATTCAAATGGTTTCACAGCGGAACTGATCTTTTCACGGACCTTTCGCTATTTAGCTGGTAACAGCAAATTAGTTAGTGTTATGAGCACAACTAATCGGAACAGATCATTGTTCTGTGATTTGGCGATAACGACTTCCCGGATTTCCACCGGCACAAGATGTCCGTCCATACATTCAGAGGCGCACTGTCGTCTGGAAAATTGTGAAAGACAACTCCTGGGGTGGTCAACTGGTGGTTCGAGCAGGCAGCTACGCAACATTGTGAGCCTATGAATCTTTCGCCAGGCATCGCAGCTAGGCATCGGAGATGCGGCCCGCGCCCATACCGTAAACAAAACGTTCTCTACAACAGCGGCAGGACGAAACAGACTGCTCCCAGTCCCCAGCTCCGGGAGGCTCGTAGGGCAGCGCAAACTAGCGCATTCAGGTTTCGGTGATCACGTGGACACCGTTGAACCAACACCGGGAGGAGAAACTCGTGACGTCATAGTTAATTTCGCTCTGAGAAGCAAAAACAAACAAAACATGAGAATGACGTAGACCTGCCTCTGACGTAGCGGCTCAATGTTGGCTGCTCCAACTCCGTGGTATTGACTGCGCTGTTGATTGCACCTCACGTCGCTCGCTAGAGTTAGCATATTTCGGCGACTTGGCTCATTTGAAAGTTTGCTGGCCAGTTTATTAAGTATATGGATGGAATTAGATCGTAATATTTGACATATGGTCTTCCTAGATGATACTGAATTGGGCTGCATTGTTTTTTCGATATCGAAAATGAAGCAGAGTTGCCCGTTAAGGTGGGACATTACCCAATAAAATTAAAAGTCTGCAAAAAAAGGTAGGTTTTGAAAAATGCCATCAACATCTAGAGAGTATTTTAAAAAGTTTCATTAGTTTACACTGCAAAGGTTTTTTGTTTTTTGACAAAGAAAAGAGAGTTTGGAGCACTTTGAACGTGTTTTTCTCCGTTCCACTTTTTGACATAAGTTTCCCTTTAAGAAAATTTGTCTGGTATGGGGATGAAATCAGACTCGCTCATTGTTTTTCGTGACTGGGATTTAATGGGCAAGGCAGCTGTGGCATTTTTTTTTTACTTTGTGGATGTCTTTTATTAAAGATGTTGAGATTTCATAGACGACGCAGGCAAAAAATTTGATTTTTCATTGCAATGTTAGCAGATAATAAATTACTTTTTGGAAAATTTGTTCTCACAGTGGCACTCTTGGGGCATTCTGCTGTGTATCTAGCGAAGAGAAACATTTGATATTACATTAGTTTTCTAACAATAGTTTTTCTAAAAAAAGTTGGTGTGTTCCCGATAAAAACGACAAAAATTTCTTTTACAATTCCTTTGCACTGCATTCTGCCTTGCATCTGCCAGTATATACTGTGAATTTCATTCATATTAAACGAAACATTCAAAAGTTGTTTCTTTTGAGTAGGGTCCCTCTTTAAGAATATACTTGACGCTGTAGCAAAATGTTGATTGGGTTGTTTTTGACATCATCATAAATTGCCTAACAAAAAATTGGAAAAATATTTCTTTTTGGAGGGGGGGTGTCAGTGTCCCTTTAAGATGTAATGCGATGAAGACTAGAAGCCTGACCTCGTAGCTTTGGCTGCTGCTCTTGTTGCACGAGAGTTCTTGCAGCTGGGGAGTGCTTTTGAGCAAGGAGATTGTGTTAATAGCCTTTGTGTCAATACATCTACATTTTAAGGTGAAACAAAGTACAGAGCTGTTAAACGTGACGTTTCAGCATTGTATAAACATTCAGTTGACATGTTAAAAATGGAAGATGCATTCATTTGATGATGACCGCTGTGATACTCCTAATCACTACTTGGAGTTTTTCTAATCCCGTGTCATTTATTAAATATATAATGGAACAAGTTCCCCATAATCATATTTTATTGAGTCCACATTTCCTCAAGGTATTCAATTGCTGAAACTGTCATAATTATGCATTGTAAGCTTACCTTAGCATCCAGAACATAGCTTTCTGATCACACAATCTCATTTGATTGGTTGTTCACTGTGGAAGGGGAATGGACAATGAGGTGAGTTGGTAATAGTTCATCGTAACTCACAGCGCGACTGGGACAAGGACAGGCAGTCAGCGGTTGTCCTGTGTTTTCTTCTCTGTCTGTCCTTGTTCCAGTCGCACTGTAAGTTAAGTGGAAGAGAAAGATGTACATGGAAAAACCGTAGTTTCAACCAGTGATATATTTCTATCGAGGATTGTTGTTGCCGTCTCTCTACTCTTTTCATACATTCATCCGATAACATCTCACCTCTGAATATATATATGCAATAAACTTCCCCTAGAAAATGTAGTCTTCAGCTCTGACATACAAGAACAACCCACTTTTTAACACTTTGATATTTTGATTATGCAACATTGAGAGCGACTAAATGTCCTCAAGTCCATTTCGGTGGCGAGAGTTAGCCGCGCGCACAACGTCGCGTAGCGAGGCCTCTTGCTACGACACACGAGGTTGCCCGACTCGATGAGACGGCGGCTAAGACACATCAGATTGCGTGTAAAATGAAAGCAGACAGCCCAAGCAACGAGTTCCCCTCTAGCGCTTTTTTGCGATCCACCTCGCGCTAAAACTGAAGACGCGCATTTCTCGCGCACGGACACGTCACCACCCGGACGCCTGGGACAGCGATCGGATGAAGAAAGAACGCCAGCGGGAACGCACGAGCGAAAACGTTGCTGTCGCAGTGCCCTTCTTGTCTGTGTGTGCGGCCACTTCGTGATACTAATGCCACGCTCCCTTGGCTTTGTGACCACCCTTTGTAGGTGCCTCCCGGGGGTTTGCGTTTGTGGAGTTTCGCTATCTCTCCGAAGCGGTTCGGTGGAAGGAACTTACAAAGGTGTCGTCCGTTGAGCCACTCGGCCTCTTGGAGTGTGCGGGGAGGGGCGGGGGCACTGTCCCGGCGCCGCCTCCTCTCCCCTGTTTCTCTCTCTTTTGTCTGCAAGGCGGGACTGCAGGCTCCGCCCACCTGTTCTCGTAGGCCTGGCAGTCGCTCCGCCTGAGGAACAGATTTTTTTTTTCTTCCCCGGTTGCTTGCTTTGGTGGTGGCAAGCCTACCTCGTTGCGTTACACCGTGTGCACTATCTGTTTAGGCAGGCTAACTATCCCGTTTCTTTAGTCCAATCCGCGACACTGAGTTCAGTTGCAGGTCAGTGCCGCCTTAATATAACGTGCCACAATACCCTGCCGCGTCATATTGACAGGTAAAGTGACATTTGTGCCAAGCGCATAAATGCACGAAATTTCGCTGTGCGTACAAATGCATAGTTATGCGAATGCGTAAATTTTTCGGGAAAAAGAAGTGTTAATTACGCGAGTAAAAATGGTAGTTGTGCAGACAAAACTGCTCACTATGGTCACTGACAAAATGAGAACGGCAGGACGAGTCTTCAATCCCCGGCCTCTAGCACATGTTCTTTTCATTCCACCGTATTTTGGCCTCTGCCGTCCTCGCCTCGTCAGTGGCTGCAGAAACGCGCAGATAAAACAAGCTTGTGTACGCACGCATCAGTCAGTGAGAAAAGGGGACGGAGGCAAAACATTTCACTGCCAGCTCACCTCGTGCACTTCCGACAATTAGGCTAAGTTTAACAGAAACAAAGTGCTTCCGCCCAATGCCGCCAGCTGTTACGGGAGTCCAAGAGCAAGAACGAGCAAGAATTTGTTTCGAAGGGAATTTATTTTCTCATCGCTGGCGGATCTGACCTCTGAAGTAGTCCGTCCCGTCCCACACGGTTTTCTCACAAACACCCGGGCCGTTGTCATTTGAGCCCCACCAGTGTTGGAGCATCCGTGGAAGAAAAAAAAGACGTCCTTGCATTTTGTTTCCCGGGCGGTGGCGATCCCTGGCTGCTTAACGGCAGACTCTTCGCCGATACTAGACACTGCCCGCGACGGACGCAAACCTCATGCAAGAGCTCGGTCGGTCCGCCGAAACCCTCAGTGATTCGAGCTTGGGCTGGTCGGTCTGCGGTGCCCGTGGGGGAGGTGGACACCGGGCTCAGCGGGAATGCGTAATCTTTCGGTCGCCTCCCGGCACTCCGCTGAAGGCCTGCCCAAGCGTCGGGCATTGAGTTGCGGCGCTGGTGAGGGGGCAAGCTGGTTTTTGGGGGGTGCAGTCTCGTGGTGGGCATCCCTTAGACACTCTTCTCCGTTTGAAAGGAATGCCAGATGCGACTTAACTGCCGAGTTAGAAACAACGATGTTCGAGAAATATTCGACAGTGAAGACAAAAATGTTAGGTAATCCATGTAGTGTCTTTCCCTCGCCGTCTTTTATGCTCGTAGCCGCAATGTGACTGGCCAAATCTTATAGAAAAGCTTCTGTATGATACTGTCAGCTATCTCTGATTAGGAATTTTATGATCACCACTTATGTGTTTTAGAGTGCAGCTCTTAGGCGGCCATTTCCAGCTTGAGCGGCATCGCCGTCAGCGTAACTATGAGTTGCATTATGGGAAGTTCCTTATAATTACATCACAAGTGACGTCACGAAGGTCACTTGTGAAGGTCAAGACGAAGGTCACGACTTTCACAGTGACCTTCACGAGGCCTTCACGAGCAACTTCATGAGGGTCACGAGTGACGTCACAAAGGTCACAACCTTTGCAGTGATTTTCACGAGTGACGTCATGAGGGAGGAGGGTATGGGGGAGGGGGAGGTGCATACCCTCCTCTCCGTACCCTCCCCTCTTCCTCCTCAAGAGCTGCGCTCTAATTTGCATTAAAGGGAATTGTAAACATCTTTCATTTTTCGTTCTGTCTTTAAGCGTGCTTTATGTGTAACAATTTTACAGCAAACAACACTAACATTGTTACAACAAACATTGTTACGCATTGTTTAACAACAATGCATAACAATATTTGAAAGAAAAAAATTATTTTAGGAAAGACATTTTTAGAAGAGGTTCTTTGCTTAATATGGGAATGGCTAACTTTCATTTTTCTGATTGAATTTTTCAAATTGCACGAGCACCCGACTTCACCGCCCAGTCATTGCTTTTGTGATTTAGTTAGAAACTAGAGAGTGGGGATTTTGTGATGGCCTCCACGGGAGTGTGCTCTCATTTAAGTGTTTCTGCCTTTGAACTGAAACAGCTTCTGCCTGGAGTTTGCATCCATTTTCGTGGGCTTGTAGCACAGATGGACACAATGGTCAAAACCTTCCTCGCCTTAGCCGCCTGGATGTCGATTTTATGGAGCGACCGGTCGCAGGCAAACTTTGAAGACGTCCTTTCGGCAGCTCCGAGCTTGCTGATGGCTCTGCAGATTTTACTACTGTGATCATCATATTTTTTGTTTTGCTTCTAACCGAGCACTACAACTTGATGGAGGAGTCATGGGCAGTAGTGAGCCTATATTCTGAACCGTAGGTTTGAATGCCCCTTTTCGTTGCACCAAGGAAGAGTTTCAAATCCTGCATGTGCGTCTCGAATTACGTGCAGTAGATTAATTGCCTCATTACTGGTTATCGCTCCTCCATCATCTCTGTAAACTCGCATTAATTTTACACGCCGTGCCCCTTTTTTAATGGGCATAATCTAGAATCATGCTGTAGTCTATTAGCACGTCACTATGTCATACGAGTGTTACGAAAAGTCTAGCAGATTAGGTTTTACAGTCGAAATTCTGGACATTTTTGTATTACTTGGCATTATTGGATAATATATGATACCATAATATCCCCAGAGATGCCCCACCCCCCATTTTTCGCATGATTTGCTATTCTTTCGGAAACATCGAAAGATAGCCCATTTCTAGTAATTGCAGGGCATTGGCCAATGGTGACCTCGGCAGAAATGGTGTTAACTTAGCCACAACGGGAGTTAGGTGAACATTGCTGACTAAGAAGGACAGTCGTCTTTGGTTCATCGTCCCTTCATGCAATCTCAAGTTTCGGGGGTCACAAAATCTAAAACTGGCATTTTTAAACTTTTTATTATGGTGCACAGAAGCTTATCACTTCTTTTCATCCGATTTGCTGTTGATTTTAGGTGGGCTATTTCTCGGGATATTACGGTAGTCTCCAAACCAAACGTGTTTGATTTTTTACATGTTTGTGGAACTAGCAACACTTTTCAGCTTTATGTGAGCAAATATTTTGTGCATTTAGAAAATAAGCCGAACATAAGGCCAAAGCAAGTGCACAGGCTTGTGGAAACTGATAAGACATTCAAACATAAGATGGTTTCTTGAAGAGCAGGCACATTCAGACAGAACGCTTTCTCAAAAGGCAGGCGGTTCTGTTCATCTATGGGCTAACATTGAAAGAGTACCTTAAATAATCTGAGATAAATTAGAAAATTTGGGTGAATATTCATGTAGGAGGGCTAGATTGAGTGATTATTTAAAAATGGAACGGCAGTCACCAGAAGGACGAGGTTTTCTTACACATGCTATACACATTTTGACATTTCACGACTCGCTGTTTAGTTAAAAATTGCATTTATGGCTAGCCTAAAGTCCATGGAGCAAAACCTGAAAGCCATTCTTTCCCTTTTTACGTGTTCCCGCAATTTGACGTCGGCAAGCGAGATATGGACGTTGAGATATATAGACAATCTTGACTCGCATTTTGTTGAAGCACAGTGACATCCAGCCGGTCAAAGAGCTCTCTAGCGTGGAGAGTCTACTACCATATAAGTGCCGAGAAAACAGTGGGCCCTGTCTGCAAATCACAACAGGAACAAATGGGCTCCTCAAAGCTGACTCGTCTCGTATCAAGTCTGGGAGCCGAGACTTAATGGGAGGAAACAGGGACAAGGTATATCTAGAGGCACAAAATAGACTATGTTTAATAACATTGCCGAAGCCATTGTTGCCTGGGATCAGTACTGCCAGGCGTAAACCAGCCGCCGCCGACAGATGTAACGGGAAGCAAAAGGGGCACTTTTTGCAGCCTTGCCTGCGCAAACGACCCGCGATAGATCGACTAGACGTTACCATATTCACAGATGGAATGAGGCTGGCGGGGCATCTCTTTTGGACGCCCCCAGCACATGCTCATTGCCTCCTGCTGTACTTGGGTTGCGCATGCACGCACAAAGTACAGAAGCCGAAGTCTTGTCGAAGGTGGGAAGCTTGCGCTTAAGGCGGGACAACCGAAGGACCACCCTGCCATTCTCGTTTTGTCGGGCACTATAGGGTGTCGTAACACCGAATCCAAGGTGCACTTGGAAGGCTCGTACACTGCCAACAATGCCCTTTTGAGCTCCTCATTACGAAACGGCAATGTTTACGATCAAAACGAATAGAGTGGCAGTACCCTCTCAGAGGACTCTATGCTATATTTCTGCTAAACTCGTCGGCGGGCGAAGGTTGCGGCCCCGCGAGCCAGTTGGAGCGACGGAGTGATGCACTTGGCAGCCTTCCTTGGGATAAAGCAGCCTTTGACTACACGTCGTCGCAGGCTTTGCTCCGACCCTCTCATTGGCCTGCCAAGATCGAGGCTTTTCCCGTTTGCCAAGTTACGGTAACGCTATAGGGCCTAAAACGCGTCTTCGACTGATTTTTCTGCGTTCTGCACCGCGCATGCGTCGAAAAGTGATCCCGAAGCGATAACAGATTGCGTCACTGGAGCCAGTGTGTCATTCTGTCAAATATGACGATTCCGGTTCCGGTAGTTTGTCGCAGGAGTTTGTGCAAGAGAGGCGCTCAAATGTGAGCATCCCCATCTTCGCGGCGCTCCAACTTTCGGCGGCCAAGGTTTCCGCAGGCTGTCAAAACTGGAGAGCATGGAGGTAAGAAGCTTCTGGAGGCAACATGATGCCACCAGAAGTGAAGTCGGAAGTGTGGACGGACACGCCCCCAACGATGACCAAAGCTAAGGGATGCTATTGGACAAAAAGGAGAGCTGACTTGGCGCCCTTGGGGCCCTGGGGCCTTGAGGGTGACTAAAGCAGCTGTTGAGTCATCTCTCCTTTTCGCCCAATAGTGTTGCTCGGTTTTGGCCATTGTTTGGGGACGTGTCCATCCACACTTCTGGCTTCACCTTTGGTGGCGTCGTGCCACCTCCAGAAGCTTCCTACCTGCATGTTGGAGAGCGATCTACAACTAAACGGAACAACAGCGGGACGCGAGCGCGCTGAAAGGGAGAGGCCAAAAACGAGGAGTCGCTAAACGAGCCAGTCGAAGACCCGTTCCAGGCCCCGAAGCGAATTGGGCAGGGCAAGTCGCGCGGAAACAAAGTTGCCCGACCGGCGCGGAGGCGCTTTTGGCGAGGAAGGCGGAGACCCGACGGCAGACACACCTTGAGCGTCGCTGAGGCACGGTTGCATGAGGCGGCAGAGACGCCGCCGGCGTGCCAAGGCAGGACCCGTCTCGCCGTGAGCCAAGGGGTTTCCTCAGACCGGGCGTTCGGTCCTCCTGTGCCTCCCCATCTCGGTCGTTGGGACACGTGGCGCTCCGCACCGGCAGCAGGGACAGGCGTGGCGCTGACGGCGGCTTTCGTCCCGGCCCTTTTGCTCTGCAGGGGGTCGTGCAGATGGGTGACGTGCGCTGCAGCCTCCACTACTCCATTCCCAAGGACGGGGGACCCGTGGGGCTGGACCGCGCCAGCCTGTTGGCCAGGACAGACTGGAACTGCGGCAAGGTGGGAAATCGACCGGACCCGCACCCTTCCTCTAAAGTCGTTCGATAGCGAATCCGCGCAGCGCCACCTCCGTGAGCATATCTTGCGGCGTCTCGCAGCGGGCGAGTGGCTAGCCGACGGCGATGCAGAGACGCGTGCGTCCGCCACTTCGCGGCGTGCTCTCCTCATGCTCCAACATGTTTGCCACGTGGGATGGTCCAGGGCTCCACTAGCAAGGATGGAATGTGCCGGGCTTGTCTTCTAAGTGGTTTTGACTCACTGCTGTCCCTTGACACCATGCGCTGTCTTTTATGAGCGGCACTGGCTAATGTGCCTGGCAAGCCGCACGTCTCGAAGAGAAAAGATAGAGTATTTATTACTTTATTGTGCTGCAATGTAAAGTAAATTTTTCTCTAAAACTTTCCCCGCCACTCGAGCTGACGGCGCAAAGAATGTCGTTACTCGTAAAAGCCGGTTCGTACGTGCAGTTGGGACTAGAATTTGTGCCGATTATGGCGGTGATCTAAGCGGCGACACTACCTTGAATTGCACCTTTTTTTTTTCCAAAAAGTGCATATTCAGAACTGCAGAGTTTTGGCGTGTATGGATAACAAGGAACACTCTCACAAAGTCTTGTCAATGTGCACTGACCAACAATGTCAAAAATAATTATTCTTTATATGTTGGTGAGCTGTGGTGCACTGCATAGCCCTCGTCATCCATAAGTGAAAATAATTGGAAGCAATGTCAGTATATCGGAAGAAGTTTGAGGAAGACATCACCTACACTGCTGGAAAGAATTCAACATTTAAGATGCAAAAATAAATTTTTAAAACATCATCTTGAAACTTAAGTGCATTTATTTCAGCTTCACTTTTGGCAGCAAATCCCACCTTAATAAAACTATCATTTCAGTATGAAGCTACCGAGGGACTTAATATTTGTGGATTATATGTTGAAATTTTATCGAGCCGGTTACTATGAACTTAGATTTTACATTTTCATGTTCCTTTATTATAAAAAATTGTAATTTGCAAAACTTGGCAAATGTAAACAAAAAACAAAAAACATTAATTTTTTTTATTTGAAAAATGCATATTTTAAAAATTTCTTTTCATAGTAACCGGCAACAAGTATTCCAGTATGCTTTCCACCAGAAAAATATGTGGTGATCAACACCATTTCTCAACGATAGATTCATTGAGCAGATTCCATACAAAGCTATGTTCTGGGGGTATAGTACCTCATAAAATTGGTTCACAGGGCTGAAACATTGCACGTGTTGCGTTCACAGAGGGGAGCCGACACTGTACAACGGATAGTTAAACATTTAATTGCTAAAGTAAAGGTAAATGACACTCAAAGAAAAGGAATGCACTCACAAGGTGACGACGCCATCGTTCAGTCTCTTCGTGCACGTTTCAGCCGAGCGCCGCCTTCCTCTTTTCTCCTGATTTCGGCGTGCATACTTTCTTTTCTTCTTTCTATATGGGTGCTTAGTAATATTGTCCCTTTTGCACTTTATGGTTTCAACAGCATGTCCACCTTCTATATGTCTACAAACACCACCTGCAAATTGCATGCCAATTGAGTGAGCAGTTCAAAAGTAAACATGCCCAGGTTGTGTCCCCCCTTCAGACTTGATGCGAAAGCATTAAAGGGACCATGAAATGCTTTTAAAATCTAATTTCATCCACCGCACGTCGTAAAAGGTGTGAAAAGAAACACAAAAACACAAAACTAGGGAGCCAAAAAAAATTATTTGCTATAGAACTTTTAAAAGAAAACTGGACTCTTTTGCGACTTCTTTCCTTCGAAAGCTCTGCCTTTTCACTACGATGCATCCGCAGAAATGGAGCACGTCAGCCGAATCCACGTCGCCTATTGGGTAAGAGCCTACCTCACCAGCACCGCGATCGTAAACAATAAATAGCCGGCGAATGTTTCCTAAAAGTTTTGTTAAATAATATTCAGACCCACATTTTGTAGCATAATTAGAGATGTGTGGCGAAAATTGCCAAATTTGATAATGCTGAGAGCCAAGCGCCATCTATCGTGTGGTAAACGAAGCAACTACTGCGCGTGCGCAGTAGGGCAGGGCTGACTTCAGAACGGTTATTTCCTTTGGTTTCCTTCCTCTCAAAACTCTGACTGACTGAACGTTTATTTTTCTACGTGTTCATCTCGCGCGTGCCGACTTCAAGCAGCAAGAAAAAAATGTACTTAAAACAGACCACGACGAACAAGAACGCTGGATCCACAAACACCCGAGAAGAGCGACAACAGCCGCGAATCGCGCTCCGACGAAGCTCTCAGAATATAGGCCTAGCAGGCACTCCGACTCGGCGCAGCGTTGCTTCGTCGCAAGACCGTCTGTCTGCCTGCGACCGGCTTGCTTGCTGAATGGAATATGCCCGCGCTACCCTTGTGGGGTACCCTTGTGGACCCTTCCCGTATAATAGTTTGATCGCTGACCTCAATTTTACGTTAAGAGGTGAGGTCAATCTCTTCCCCTTGTTTTCCGAGGCAGTGTTGACGAACACTCGTCGATTCTATCTTCTTGTTTTTTGTGATATAGAGCTGAAATAAACGCCGTATGGATTACCTTCGTAACACGGTATGTACACTTTGTTATTGGTATGCCATTTTTATCCTGACAGACTGCACGTCACTGTCGAGCTGTAACAGTTCGTGAGAGGTATACGTGCAATACCGGTCCAACCTTTCTTTGCCGAGTGTCGCGTCAGTATCGAGTTGCAATCGTAAAAGATCTTTCCCGAAGCGCTTACCAACAGCGCGAATACAGCACTTCCATGAAACGCGCGCGTCCGCTCCGAGTGTTAACGGGTATTTACGTGGCTCTTGCTGACACTCGTAGTTCAAACGTATATTTTTTAACGTCGGCTCGCTCCTGCATCTCCGAGACCGCGAAAAACGCCGCGGCAATTTGTTTCCAACTACGTCGCTTTGCAAACGACTGACACTGGCCGCCTTTTGCCAACAATGACAGTTGGGTCGTTGGGTTGACTTTTGGAGTCTTCACCGGAAGACTCGCTGCACTTCCCAACAGGCATACCGGTGTATGGGACTAGTCCCATGCTGTCGCTGTAGCGCAACATATCTCGTTGAATTTCGCTCAGCTGCGATGCGGTGATGAGAGGCGCCGATTCAGAAAATACATCGGTGACATCGGCGCAGTAAAACCTACCGGCGCACCCCAACTCGTCACCGCTAATGCTCCCATCTCCTACTGCCGAGAGAAGTTCCGGTTCCGGAAACAGCGTACGTCACGGCTTGTTTTGCGGTCAAGAAAAAGTCGATATTTCATTAATTTTTTGTGTAGAAGTTAACAAACCGAGACGAAAACGGATGCCTGTTCGGCATTCAGTGAACATTGACGGTTTAATGTAAAAGTTATCTGGAAAAAGTAAAAAAGTCATTTCATGGTCCCTTTAACTGTCTCGTAGAGCGAGCTAACGTCATCAGCTTTGAAACCACTCTAAACGGCTCTTAAATCCTTCTTCAAGTCAAGCCAGCTCCCATTAGTCACGGCACCTTTTACACCGCTTCGATCCCATTGGCCAGTGCACGTCGACCAGGCTCCCGTTCTGGTCGTTGAAACTGACTCTGCGCGTCAGTTTCAACGACCAACTACCCCATGGCGCTGCGTGTTCATCAGCGCTAGTCACCACGCCCACACGCGTACAGCAAGAATGGTGTACATGCTTTCGCATTCACAACTCGTAAGAAGTGCTTAGGTGTATCTCAATCTTTTTTCCTTCTCTCACTGCTGAGGTCTCCACCTCACAACTAGCAGTAGTGCGAGGTATAGCTGATTTCAATCTGTGCCGTTTAAGTCGGAGCTACTAGCACAATTGTGTTACTGCGAGCAATTGGGCACTACATGCAGAGTTGGGTAAAGTACATCTATAAAGTACCTAAAGTACAAAGCTAATAAGAGATTTTGTACTTCAAGTAAAGAAGTAAGTACACTGAGTACCATGTACTTGAAGTAAAGTACTACAAATTCAATGTATTTTCAAAGTACTACAAGTACTTTTTAACACAATCTTTCATGATGCCATTTCATTCTCCTATACAGTGTTTTTTTGTTTTTTCAAAATGGTATGCATTGTTTCAGGTGTAATGGGGGTGCATCAGTTATTTTCGGAAACTGCAGCAAGTACTGGAGTTAAGTTGCCGCAGAGTAATTGTTTTACTCTCGCTGACGAACTACTTAACACAATCAACTTATAAGGCACTTATTTCTATCGGTCTTGTAGCCGTCATTACTTCACTCGGAGGAATTACTAGATGGCGTCCCCAAAGACAATAGCATGTTTCACACAACAATATCTTTTTTTTTTTTTAATTCGGGGAATGTATTCTGAAGTCAGGAGTTGTACTTTCCGCGCAAAATACCAGAAAGAAATACTTTAAGTAAAGTTGAAGCACACTCGGAGAATGTACGAGTAAAGTACAGGTTTTCTAAACCTACTTGAAGTAGTAATTGAAGGTACAAACTACTTAAAGTACTTCCAAACACTGACTACACGAAGGCCCGTGCTTGGCATGGATGCAGAAAGCCCGAAGCTTCCTCTTGCAGCTTCTGCTACAAAGTGGGCTCCATCCCGATACACAAAGTGAAGCGGAGTAGCTTTAGGAAGAAAACGTGAGTCAGTGCCACTGAAACCACTCTCCTGTGCTGTACCAGCAATGAGTTTGCAAGTGCTACTTCAGTGCTAAGGTCTATGCTGTTTCCAGCGCTGTGCGTGTGAACTGAGGCACATTTTACTTTATTCTCTTTTTGACTTCTCCAGCCATCCATAGGATGGTGGAGTGATGACAGAAGATGTTATTTAGCATGGTTTGGAGTTCACCGCAAAGAAGGTTGTAACTTGTAATCATCAGAAGGTGTGCCATTCATCTCAGAATCTTATTCGCGCCTCGACATGTTCAAACTTCATTCCGTTTTGAGTCACCGGAGGTTTGTCATCAGTGGAGCAACAACAAAGGTTCTTTGGGGGTGCGGTTTGTAGTTCCAGGCACCCTAACGTATTCTGCAGTGGCCATTGGCACTGTGTGACGTGGTTTACTTTCCACCAGTAGGAGCTCATGTTGCCCTAATTGTGCCATTGAGTTCTGGAAGAAGTACCAGGACATGTTTGTTTCGTCTTGCAGTGTGGTGTAAACAACTTCAGACGCAGGGACAACTGCTTCAAGTGCAGTGCGGCGAGGGAAGGTACGTCAGGTTGTTATACTTTATTCGTTGACCCTTCCATTGAACACCGTAGAAACCGGCTACGTAAAATAAAAATGAATGGCAGCATAGGGAAACAGTTGCTAGTAGGTCAGCTTTTTATTTTTGTGCATGCCCATTTCCTTTGTATGCTGCAATTTTTCTTGCAAATTATACATGGCCAGAGTTCACGTTACAGCTATAGCATCCTAAAAGCCCGCCCTCCGTCAAATATGTGGCCACATGACTTATACATGCAGATATGGTGCATCTAACAAGAAAGCTGTTGAGAAGCATGAAGCATGCTGGAAGTTTCTGTAATTCTGTATTCATTTCACATAGCAGTGAAGATCCACCCTTGAATTATAGAAAGAATGTAGTGGAGCATGAATTCTTCCAGACACGTTTACTATCCTAAAGGTAGATGTTGCTCGCAGTATCTCCCGTTAATTGAGAGAGCGAAGGAGGCTTTTCTTTTTCTGTAGTTTGTTGTTTAAGGTTAGAGTATCTCTGAAGCCTCACGACGTGGCAATTGATGTTTAGTAGCTCTAAGCTTACCGTATTTACTCGCATAATAAACGCTCCCCCCAAAACGGGTACCAATATTTTTACTTTCTTTTTTCCCTCGCGTAATGAATGCACTTTCAATTTTTGGCTCCTCGAGTCTCGAATTGTGTCCAATTTACATAGCCACCGAGCCAATTTTCTTTTGCTGCCAAGCAGTCGGGCCAAGTTAAGCCAAGCCACTCTCGTAATGGCTGCAAGCGCATAGTTGCAGAAGGGATCAACCGTGAAACCGAGCGGTGCGCACACTTGACGAAGCTTGAATTGAGGAATTGCCCAGCCGCAGACATTCTTCACCTATCAGATGCATTGATGTCAACAAACACGCCGTCGTCTGTGGTCTGCTTTCGGACACAGAGTGAAAATGGTTAGGCCTAAGAACGCCTTGCTCTGCGTGCGGAATGAGCCTTGTAAGGCACTTTTCCTTCAGCGAAAGGCACGCCGAAAGGGCCCCAAAAAAGTTTGCAATTTATAAAGCATGGTTACTGTAGCAGCCCCCAACCAGCCGTGGGTGCGCCTCCATCAGTGTAGACTTGACACAGTGCCTTGCCGTGTCATATTGGCACCTAATATGACATTTGCACGAAGTGTGTATATGCAAAAATTTAACCCCGCGTCCCAAATACGTGTAAATTTTTCGGGAAAAAAGGTGGGTTCATTATGCGAGTAAATAGAGTATTTTTAGTAGGCTTGACCACCTGAAACATACACTAATCCCGGCCGAGGTAGCTGCCATCTGGCGGAGGCTTATTGCGGAAAAGGTAACCGTGCTTTCATTTGCGCGTCGAAAGATCCTTGGGTGGTACAAATTAATCCTCAGTCCTCCGCTGGGGAGTTCCGGATGCTCTTCGTACGTTTGACATCGCACAACCCCCAAATTCGAAATGTAAACCGAATCGTACGTCGACTTCCTTTATGCAGATGCGGAGATTCCCAACTCTGGGGACGGCTTCGATGAGATCAGTTCGGTGCCAACGAACAGTAAGTAGAGCCTGACTTGTGGCAGTCTCTTCTACTCTTGAGCGCACATGGGTGTGCAGCAGTACTCTCGAATGGACGTGCCACCCCTCCACCCTTGCTGCCAACAGGAGGCCTTGCATAGTGGCTAATGTTTTGAGATTGCCGTAATATGAACCTTGAAATGGGGGCCATTGCTGGCACGCCAGCAACGAACTTTGAGGCATTCTAAACAAAGTATGGCCGAAATTACCCCTTTTTGCATTAAATTTCTTTGCACGAATGCTTTGTTAGATTGGGGGTTAATGGTCAAAGTTATTTCGAGTTCATAAAAGCATGGAGCCCTAGAGGGATCCGTGGGGAAATTAGGATTTATTCTTTAGATCGAGAATTTTGTAAAGTCGGGTTTCGCGAAATCGAGTTTCAACTGTAGCGTATCAACTGGAAAAACGTTTGTCTTTGGAGTAGGGCAGTCAAGGGGTTTGGGGAACCTCCTAAGGAACACCGAAGTTCATAGGAACCCGGTTTGAGAGCCCTTGGTGTTCGAGATCTGTAGGCTTCTGTGTGGCTTTATTGTATCATTGACGAGACCGGAAAGGGTTCCTTGGCTGCCTTCAAAGGCACGAGAGACGCTTCGTTCTATAAGATTGCAATTTGGCATTCAGAATGCTTTCTGGGAGCCCACTGTCCCGACCAGATGTGATGTCTCTGCGTGCAGCCCTCCTGCTGCGCAACCTGGACGTGCTGACGACGGAGGAGCGGGTGCTGGCGGTGCTGGGCCAGACGACCAACGTGCCCATCAAGAGCCTGAAGGTGGCCAGGGACCCAGCCACGGGCACCTCCCGGGGGTTCTGCTACGTGGAGCTGCACACCGTGGCCGAGGCCGCGCAGCTGGACGACCTCCTGCTCAACCTGGGAGGGCAGTTCTATGTGGACGGACGGCAAGGTGAGTGCTCGTCTCGACTTGTCTTAGCTTCTCTTTAGTGCACAGTCTTGGCTTGTCTTGACTTATCTTTAGTTCACCCTCTTGGCTCTTCTGTAGTGTGCCATCTTGGCTGGTCTTGAGTGCACCCTCTTGGCTTGGCTGTGGTGTGCCACCTAGGCTTGTCTGTAGTGTGTAAGCTTGGTTTGTCTTCAGTGTGCCAGCTTGGCTTGGTTTTCGTGCTTCAGCTTGGCTGGTCTTCGATTCTGGCACGTTCATAGTGTGCCATCTATGCTTCTCTGTAGTGTGCCGTCTCGGCTTCTCTTTAGCGCACATCTGTTGAAAGTAAGCGACCATAATTAATATCAATCTCAGTAACTAGATACCTTGCAAGTTGCAATTAAGTTTATGTAGCTATAATTTTGTTACATTGAGTGACATGTAACTTGACGCAATTGCAGTTCCTAAAAGTACATTGACAAATGCACAAATTGATACGCTATGTGCCACCACTGGGCCAAACACTACTCTGAGCCGAGTGCTGAATTCAAACCTAAACTGTGGCAACCTTTTTCCACAACGGCAACTTCTTTCCACGTCGCTAACCGAACCATTGGTCAACAGTTTCAGCGTAACTCGACATCATAGGATATTTCGAAAGTAAATGTAGTGTGACACAGTTACTTTCTGCAGATAACTGCAACTACAAGCATTCTGAAAACGTCACTGTATCTGTAGCTTAATTACAATTCAGATCAGGTAACTTAATATCTCTCTTGTGTTTGTGTTGCCGAAGGTGCCGTCACCATAGCAGCAGCCCGCTCTTGCGGGGATAGGAAGCTTGCAGGACACCGGAAGTTCTAGTTTTTCTGTTTGAGAACGTCACTCTTTTCCTCTCACTTTAAAGGACACATGCGAAGGAAAAAAACATTTTTTTTAAACAGCTTAAATCGAAAAAGGATGTCATAAAACAATTTTACAGCAAAGAAAAAGAAATTTTCGAGTTATATTTACGGCGCTATATAGTACCAATCTGTAGTTTTCCGCCCGCGGGCACCGCGGAAAAGTGGCCTTATTTATCACATGACTGGTCTCTATTTATTACGTGCTGCTCGCGCTCTTTTGGAAGCTTCCTATGGCCTCTAAAAGTAACTTATTCATCTTTGTTTGAAGTATAACAAAAAAACTAAGATTAATAAGTAACTTTTAGAGCCCAAAGGAAACTCCTGAAAAAGCACAAGCAGACGTGATAGACCTGTGCACCGGTCAGATGACGGCAGCGGTGCCGCGAAGCAGACGAACTTGTGCGGCAGCGGCGACGGCGGCATGGAGAAACACGTTGAAGCGGCATCGCACAACGCTCAACGTGCGGCAACAGCGTGACTTTGCGGCGGCGGCGACGCAGCGCGGCGGCGCACAGGCCTACCACGTGACCAGCAGCAGCTCCTGCGGGCGCCAATTACAAATTCGTTTTGCGCCGTAAATAGGTATAGCTCTAAATGTTCTTTTCTTCGTTGTAAATTTGTTATATAATATTCTTTTTCCATCTAACCTGTCTAAAAAAAAGTTTTTTTTCCTTTGCATGTGTCCTTTAAAGAATCCGTTCGTGGCTACCAATTTCTCCTTCTTACGACGTTCTTAACTTTTAAACTTCTTAGCTAAGTTGTCGTAACCTAAGGAGCCCTTTGTGAATCTGGCCTCTGGTATAGGGAGTATTCACTGGACGCCATATTTGTGGGTGCTGTTTAGAGCGCATGCTCAGAACGAGCTCACATCAATAGGCTGCTAAGACCGGCACTCTCGATGGTGCGGAATGCACGTTGCAAAAGAACTGTGGAAGCTCGCCATCAGCACGCGCTCAGCATTCGCGCACACAGCTATGGCCGCCAGTGAATACTCCCTATGGTTAGGTTGCTGATCGACAGGAGCTCGTGCCACCCCTCGACTCTGCTGGCTCCTAACGCCTAGTTCCAAAAGTGCCTTGCTGGTTATGACCGGATTCAAACTCTTTGCGACAGATGGTTTGCTTGCGCAATGCAAAAGGGAGATGTTATGAGCCTGTGCTGCTTGTGTCATTTTTCTTCCCGCAGTGCTCGTGGCCTACGCTAGGAAGCCACGGGTGTCCTTGAGGTGAGTTGTTGTGGGAGTGTTGAGGGCACCGGGCAGTGGACACTGAGCCCTTTCCCTTGCAGTGGGAACACCGCGAGCGTTGCAAGCGTCGCCCTCGCAGCTGCCCAGTGGACCAATCAGGTTAGATTTCTGAGAAACAGTTTTGCGGCACGTCACGGGCGAACGTGATTGATTACTGCAGTTTTTCCTCTGCATTCTTTACGAAAGCCAACTCGGCTTTCAGTTTGAAATGCCATTTTCTAGGAAATTTATACAGCCAACTATTTTTCTTCTTTTTAGCTTTTCTAAATAAGCAATTCACAATGAGATCTTGGGCCTCGCCCATAACTTGGAAACATAAGTGTAAATGTCAGTGGCTATTATGAATAATGGTGCTATTTGTTTCTCTTTTTGTGTGTGCTTTGTTACTGTCGAAACAGCCTGCAAAATTAAGTGTTTAGTGCAGTTTTTGTATTTTTTTATCTTCAACAAAACTATGGTCTCCCACTGAGTATGAAGTATGCAAACTTTCACATGCTTTTGACAAGTTATACAGGTAAGCTTTTTGTTATGTGTGACGATGTATCCATTGCTTTCCGCTCATCCATTACACTCTAAAATCATTTTGCTGCGAGTACTTCTTATCAAAGCATACACAATGTCAACCAGACTTGCAGGACTAAATTAATGTTAGTTTTTTCTGAAAACTGGCCTCTAAACTGTAATGTGCCTCATCTTTTTTTTGCCCAAAACTTATTGCACACATTATTTACCAGACTCCCTATGTAGATTGCAGTGAGATAACCTTATGCAATCTAGAGATTAGCAAATGTGCAGGTATTTATTCGGCTAATATGGACATATTGAGCATTTTACAAAAACATTCTTACAATAATTTATTTGACACTAGCCTCGTCTCATTCTGTACTTATTGTGCCTTTACAGCCGTCTTCTGCAGCTGTAGTACAGCAGGTAAGCCCTTCAATTTCAGTGTTGTTTCCGCTGCCTTGTTATTCTGCTTTTGGGCGAGCAGTTCTTGTGGCTTGGCATTTAGACTGAAGGTCACTGGCACATCTCGCAGGGTGCGGTGGCTGCAGCGGCACCGGTGACCTATGGCCCACACCCTCCCGACGCCGCAGCAGCCGCACAGATGGCACAAGTGAGGCTCGTTTCGCAGTTCCCGCCGCATTTGAGACGTTCGTCCTCTTGTACCGACGATCACCACGTTTGCGACATTTTTCATCGCGTCTATAACATTGTCGCTGCGTTCGTATAACTTTCGTCGTCGTGGTTGGGGTGAATCGACACTTCCAGAACATTGTATGGCATCTGCTGGGAACTGGTGCTTTCTTGCTGGTTCCTTGCACTGGAGTCTTCCCGGGATGTTTGGCCATGTCGAGTCGTTTTGGATGCTTGCCGAGCATAGAGAACGGTGCAACGAATGAATGTGCAAACGGAATTCGTTACAATGGAGCGGCAGATCAATAGGGTTCTGCTGCTTCTAATAACGAAGGAGCACAAACAGTGCTGCAGTGTTTACCATCCCAAGTTCAGACTTCACTCCGGCTAAGTGGGGCGTCCGTTTTTTGATAGGCTGACTGTCCGTAAACGGAGGCACGGAGCTTTGCTTGGCCATATCTCGAATGCTTTACGAGCAGCCGTGCACGGCTAAGGGTTTGGTTCTTTTGCCCGGTGCCCTGGGGACACGAATTGGCTCCGGTGCCGGGCACCGCTTTTGCGTTTCGCGTTTTCGGTTTTGCCTCCTTCCTTGGGTCATCGCTCTCAATTTGACTTTCAGGAGCCGGTGATGAGGGAGACTCCTGTCCACACGCCCAAGGCCAGTGCGGTAAGTAGATGACTGCCGACAGGGCAGTCACGGAGCCTCCAATTGCGCGATTCAAGACCTATGCAGCCGCCTGCTCCATTGTGTCAGCCAGCCCCAATTATACAGCCCTAAATTGTTAATTATAGTTACAGTGGAATTTCGTTAATTTGAACTCTTGGATAATTCAAACTAACATGCATGTCCCGTCCTATGTGTTTCTAGGAAGGAAACTCCTGGTAATTCAAACATTGCATTATTCAGACAATGTTTTAGTCCCCTTTGGGTTCAAATTGATGAGATTCCGCTGTAATATCATAGTTTTTTTTTGTTGTTGTTGTTTTTTTATCAGATTTACGATGCAGCTAGTCTTGTTTTTACTACAGTAGTATCTTTCTTGAACTAAAAATAGCCTTCTTAAGCCTATGCATCTCGAGTCACAACGAATTAATCTCGTGTTGTGTTTTGTGAAGTCGGAGCGTGGGCCCAACAAATTGAACCCAGTTTTTATAAATCTCGAAGATCAGTTTCACATGCTCTGACACTGTAATTTAGCACAAAGCTGAAACTGAGTGATGCATACGTATCTTCGATAACATAAAAAAAAACATGCTTCTCTTAATTAAAAATTACAACCAAGATTTAAAAAAAACATTTTTGGCTTAGTACGCAGTAAGCTCTTTGACTAAAGGTGATAAAGCATTCCTGTGAGCCATTGGAGCATTTTATTATTTAAGAAAAAAGGGAATGAGAACAAATTCAGGGTTATTTTCTTTGTGCACATTGCCATTTATTTTAAATCAAATGTCCACAAACCTTTTTCAGAACGACACAAAACATGCATACTAAGGCACGTTTACTCTGATATTTTTCAAAAAGTAATGCACAACCCAGCTGCGCATTCAAGCTAAGTTACAGCGTCAGAGCGCGAAACTGATTTTTGAGATTTATTAAAACTGGGTTTGATCTGTTTTGGGCCCTCGATGTCAAAAGTTGGAGTCATCAAAGAAATAGGATTTAGGGTGTGGGCACCAAAATCTGTATTTTTTTTCAGGACTCTTTTCCAGATAAAATTATTTTTTGTGAAAAGTGCATGCTGCCCAATTTTTGCTGAAGGTAAAAGAAATTGCAATTAGAATATAAGTCTGCAAATATGGGTGTCAAAATCAGTATTTTAGGGAGGGGGGGGGGGGGGGACTCATCTTGAGGTAGAATGTCCTTTGAGAAAGGTGCACGGCGACCAATCTTGGCTGCCCGTCACTTCCCAGACGGTGTCCAGCCTGGGCACGGTGCTGGTGGACGGGGTGAACTACCCCCGCTACCCGGTCCCGGACGTGTCCACGTATCGCTACGACGACAAGTCGGGCTACTACTACGACGCCTCCACGGGGCTGTACTACGACGCCAACTCGCACTACTACTACAACGCGGAGGCCCAGCAGTACATGTACTGGAACAACGACAAGCAGACCTACCTGCCGGCACCCACCAGCAGCTCCACGGCCGAGCAAGTGGCACAGGCGGCGGCCAACACGGGCGGAGGTGGGACCTTACCTTCATGTGGAACGTGTGCGAGGGCTGGGGCCCTCGAGCAAAGCCCTACATGGTGCCACAAAAACCGTCGCAAAACACTCACAGGCCATCGCAAAAACCATAATGAAAACCTCTCGGAAAGTCGTCGAAGAAACCATCACAAAACGCTGTCACAAAAAAGCCACAAGAACTTTCCTAAACAAACACCCACGAAACACACACACACAAAAAAAAAAAAAAAAACTTGCAAAATACTGTTACAAAAAACTTAACAAAAACTGCCGAAATATTCTCAGAAAAAGCAACCGCAAAAAATTTTTATCAAAAAGTGTTCCCAAAAAATCTTGAAAAAAAAAAAAACAGAAAAAAAAGATTGCGAAACACTCGTGAAAATTCGTCATACAAGAAAACTTCACCAAAAGCCATCCTAAAACACTAGCAAATTTTCTAGGAAAACCGTTGCACGCCCATTAAATCTAGCAGAATTGAGCGAGACTTCCCAAGCTGCAGAAAGCCCGTATATAAGCACCTAAAGCTGCCTCGTGACTACCCATTGGATTAAATATAATTAATTTTTTTATTTACAAATACATACTACATTTTTCAGTCGGGACATGTGGTAGCAGTGGAAACACAACAATTTCCAAATCGGCACAGTTGTCCAACAGCCAACAGTGCCTTTATAACACAGAACAAAGGGCTCACATGTTTATGCAATTCAGACATAGGTGGGAAAGTACAGCTGCGTACAAACAAAAGCTGAAGCACCGCAAAGATTGAGTTGAAACCACAATACGTGCTCTGAAGTCTTGTCATCCTACATGAGGCTACATCAGCACCGCCTTCAAGTCATTCTTTCTTGTGGTTTCCACAGAACATGTTACGGCTCGGCCCAGCAGTTTCCTTCCATGCACTTTTCGTACCGACAGAACATCGCATGATTCGACACAAAGTCTGCATCAGTGCTCGGTTAGAACTTGTGTGCTCACACTGGAAGCCCAGCCTACCCACCTAAACCGTAGGCTAAGCAAAAACACTGTCTGTTTGCCTTTACCTGACTGTTTCAGGATTGTGATGTCATTTGTAAGCCAGTGATAAATTTGGATTTTTTTTTTAATTTCTCGCGGAGGTAGATTTGTTGCGTCTTGGACGCACATTTTTGCTGTTAATCCACATTTTTCCGATAAATTACTCCGTGGCATCTCCAGCTATAGAGGTATGATTCTTCACAGCCCTCTCATATCGCCTATGACTGACTGGGTGTGAGGCAACTGAAAGTAACGATCACTGCTTTGTTTTTTTGCATAGACGGTACGGACGCCGAAAAGGGGAAGGGCGGCAAGAAAGAGGGCAAGGAGGACAAGGTGAAGATTGCCAAGAAAATTGCCAAGGTGAGATGGCGTCAAAGCACGAAGGGAATTCTGAAGGGCACCATTGCATCACATTTGTGCAGTTGTAAGCTCCCCATACCATATGCCGAAAACATTTTAGCGAAAATGTTAGAAGTACAGTCTCAGTCAAGGTAAGCCGAAACGATTGAGGGAAAGTGCAACTGATTCAAGAAAAAGGTGCGATAGTGTGCGGTACCGTGGCTCATTACATCCTTTTTTCTGTTCTGGAACGCATCTCGAGACACCTTGCCTACGCATTCCTAGCCAGTGCCCATCCGTGCTTCTCATTAGATTGTTTACATTTGGGCGGATAATCTTGGCACTGGACTCTGCATTCTTTACAACGATCGGGCCGAATCAAAAATGCAGTGTCACTGTGTGCTCTCGCTCGTACGTTTTTCTTTGTCGAAGCTATACTCGGCGTTGACTTTTTTGCGCTAGGTTATTGAGGCTGACACAGTTTCTGCGGCTCGGCTGACTTTGTCGGGCTGTAGCACCGGCTGCGCAGACAGCGCGACGGTGCAACAAGGTGCCCTTTCCCCGCGAGCGACGTCCGTCGCTCGTTTGCGTGGCGAAGCTAGGCAGTGGCTGACGGGACGGTCCTTTCCACTTCCTCCATGTGCGCAGGACATGGAGCGCTGGGCCAAGACGCTGAATCAGAAGAAGGAGAATGCCAAGCAGGGCCTGGTGGCCTCGCAGCCTACAGGCGACGAGCGGCAGTCCGCGGCCGCGGACGCCGGCTTTGCGGTCCTCGAGAAGCACCACACCGCGCCTGAGCGAATAGCCTTTGGGGGTAGCCTGCTCCAGCGAGAGGCTGCACTCGACACAACAGGCATCTCTGGTGAGTGCGATGGGGGGAGGGTTTGCGTCGTAGATCGCTCGAGTTTCTCCGGGAGGCATCTCGGATCCAATTTCGGGCTCTAAGCCACCGGTGGGACGCCTCGTGTCACGTTGCACATTACTCACGTAGCGAGTGCCACTCAGTAACGAATCTTGTCTGGTGTTGTCGCCTCTTCGTTATGTCTGAGCAGAGCGATTCTTTTTCTTGTCCGTCTGCGATCCAGCGATGGGGCCCCGGGAGTCCGTGCTGGTGCCGGAGTATGGGGCCGGGTCGGACTCTGACTCGGAGGCGGAGTCCGGTGGGGTGGACGAGAGCCGCCTGGTGGACTGGGCGAAGCTGGCCTGCCTGCTCTGCAAGCGCCAGTTCCCTTCCCGGGAGGTGCTCACTAAGCACACCCAGCTCTCAGACCTCCACAAGGTGGGTCGCTGCCGCTCCAATGCCACGTTTGTCCGGAGTTGGTTGAATGGGACTGCCCAATGTGTCGTACCATGCGACGCAAATGCCCTGAAGTCGGTGACGCGTGAAAACCGCGGTCACACTGCTGCGTAGTACATCACACAAAAGACGGTCTGCAGGCATGCACCAACTCTCCTTTGCCCCCCCCCGGTAATGTCCACCTCTCAGAAATTCCTGGGGAGAACCCTGCCTCATGCATGCAGCAAACACTGTCATTTGTATGGTGTACATGCTGTTTTAGTGTTTAGTAGCTCAGCCTCCAGCCCAAGCTTTCTACGGACAACTCGCTTTATGGGACGCTTTTTTGGGGGGGGGGGGGGGGGGGGGGGGGGGGGGGGGGGGGGGGGGGGGGAACTGAGGTTTCTTTATTGACGAGAGATCACTCCATAGAAAATTTGCTGAAAGGGAACATTGTGGTGGACGTCACTGACCCTTTGTGCTGCCTAGTGCCGCACAAAGGAGCTAAGAGAAATGAAAAGTGCGTAGTAGCTAGGGTTTTGTGTTTTTGGTGGTTCTTTTTCTCCATATTCAGGGGTGCTTCTCTGGGGATCATTTTGCCCACTGATTCTGTTTTTTGGTGTTGGACAAAAGTCACAGTTTTTTTCGATTCTCTCAGACTTCTGAGAAAACTGCCTCGAGAATTACTTTTGTTTATTTTCTTTTTATTGGAAGATACTGGAAACTCTGAACCCTAGCTAAGACTGCACCCGAACGCGGCTTCTTAAATCGTCTGTACTGGTTGCTCTCCCCGCAGCAAAACTTGGAAGCTCTGCGGTTGTCGAGGTCGACGGGTGGTCCAGATTCCCAGGTAAGTTTGTCTCAGTCGGACACGGCGGCTCCGCTCGAACGAACCAACAAGGAAGACGCGTTTCCTCGTCAAGTTAGTGTTGTAAAAGATGTGACACCTTGATAATATTACGAACGCAACTCGATCTTGGCCCGGTAAAGGGAAAGTTAATTGTAAGCTCAAGACCTTCTCTCTCTCTCTCTCCCCCTCTTTTGATGCATGGGATGTCGTCCTTGGTGACACCATCTCAAGTGATCTGAGGTGGTGAATTGGGCACTCGTTTCTGCTCTGTCACCAAGCATAGTACTGGGGATATTTTTTTCTTGGACTCTGGTTGCTTCCATATTTACGAGGCTGGTAAGCGGCTAGTTCTTGCATTTAAAGCCTGCTTACATTTGCTCTTAATGATTTTTTTTTTTATGGGATGGAATGCTTTAATTAGTTCCTTACTCATAAATGTCTTGACTGTGCTCCGAATTGAAGTTGCTTTTACGGTGGCTGACTGAAATGCCGGGCACTGAAACCGGTGGTGACAAACCCTGAGGAAGCCTACAGTGATGATAAGAACGTTCTGGTGTCTGAAAATGCCCCTTATCTGCTTGTGGCGATAAGGTGAAGCAACTGGAATAAAAAAAAAATGTGTAGGGTTAGTTACGTAATTGTACAATCAGTCCTGCTACAAACATCACAAACCAGCGATATACATACAAACTCATCTGACTTTGTAACCAGCGATATACCAAACACATCCGTGTTCGTTGGTATATCACAGAACGAAAGTGGACCACACTTTTTAAGCTACAAACCCTGCAACAGTGATAGATTGAGAACAGATATATACGTGAGAATGGTTTGTAGGCACCGCATGGCGAAGCAGTCGAAAGTGGCAAGAACAACTCGCGAGGAGCCTCGTGGAAGCATGAGAGCGTTGGCCGACATTTTGCTACGGCACCCGAGGCTCGCCTCCGGAACGACTTCCGGAAGCGACGCCTCGTACCCGAGCCGCTCGCGGGTTCCGCATCTGCTCCGTCCCCAAGTACCTCGCCCCCTCTTGAGGGACGCCTGTGGGTTTGGCCGCGACGCAGGGCAGCTACCGGGACAGGGCCCGGGGAGCGACGCATCAAGTACGGCCAGCCCGAGCCTCCCCAGACGGGCACGGTGCACAAAGAGAAAGTGGCTAGGCCCGTGCCGGCCCAGCAGTGAGTAGACAATGCCCGGAACGCTCCGTGCCGCGCCGTCCGGCCCCACCCCGTGCCTTGCTTTCCGGCATATCTTCGATCGATTTGTCAGTTTGCTCATTTGGGGGTTACTGTACTCCGTTTCACTTTAAAGGGCAGCGCTTGCAACGCTACTTGCAAGGAGGAGCTTCGATCGTCTGCAAACGTCGGCCTTTTTCGCCCGCCTTCCTTCTCGCCACTTGACAATCTTTCGGCGCAGGAGACGTCCGCAATTGAAGTGCAAATGCTCCCCGTGGTTTATGTTGTTCCCTCTCCTTAATTTAGGCTCCCTAGAGAACAAACTGGCATGCTGGCGCCACCTACAAGGTCGCCGTGGAACTGCATTTAACTAGAGCGAAGGTTTGGCGGTATCTGCGAGTTTGTAGATGCGCAATCATTTTATAATGTTAGCCCCGATAGACCCTGATCTTGCCTGGCAGTGAAAATAAATGCAGAAAGACACCAATCCCCCCCCCCCCCCAAAAAAAAAAGAATAATAGTGAACCACGACAAAATATCCCTGAATTATTAGAAAACTGAAACCCCAAAAAGTTGGAACTCTAGTTGTAAATTGAGGAGTTGCTGGTGGTTTTTAGCCGGGAGAAGCCAAATGAGGCAAGATGTGGAACATAAATTGGTACTAGATTGGGAAAGTTGCCGCCACTTTCTAAACACACCTCAAAGCACTCGGACTCGCATCAGAAGGTGGATATTACCTTGTTTAGCTGAAGCAGGAACTCTGCATGCTAACAAAGTAAACAAAAAGGACTCGGGTTCGTTTAGAGAGTTCTAGCCTGCCTGAAAATGGACCTTTTTCGAGTAACGAGCGCCGTCTGGGGAGTTGCCTGCGAACTACAGAGGAAGAGCAACCCAACATGTCTCCGCCCGCCAAAACACATTGGCATCGTGCCGTTGTATCGGTTTTCGGTGCTTTTTATACCCCATACTACCGATACTAAAAAACAAAGCGTCAAAATAGACTAAATATGTGCGAAGATAGATGGTCACAACATTGCTGTCGCCATTTTCGCGGGGCACCGCGTCCCAGTGTCCTGCGAAAATGGCGGCAGGGGCAGTGTACGCATGCGCAGAAGCGTACTGGAAAAAGGTCCATTTGGTTGGGGGGGGGGGGAGTGTTGTTGAGCGTTGGGTTGGTGCCCCTCTTAGCACACTTCTTGAGCATCACTCAGCCTCATTTAGCTTCCTCCACAAGTTACCAAGTTATCGTGAAACGGAGTATAGCAGAGTCATTTTGTTTGAGGTTCTGTAAAGGTGAAGGCTTAACAAACAGTAGCATCTATGTTAGACTACGTTATGAAGGCATAGCCGAGTTATCACTAGGCAGTAGACTCCGGTTTTAACGAAAGGAAACAAGAAACAATAAGCATTTGTTGATTAGTGAGATCACCGACCTTGAAGGACAATGGCACGAGAATTAGGTCAGCAAGCCGGTCGATTTTCAGTGTCTGTTTTTTTGTTCTGCTCAGGTCAGGGCTGGACGACAGTGTTTTAAATTACAATGGCAGTCGTTATCGGCAGAACCTTGCGAAAGAATCGAGAGCAACTTGCCTTCCTTGTTGCGAGACATTTCGCTTGAGAACGGTTCAGTTGTTATCATTGCACCGAGCAGAAGGGTAGAGGGATATAAAGAAAATGAAAAGTTCAGTATGATTGCTCTGAACAGGGCTCGATCTTTGACCCGTGCTCAAACTCGTCGGTCGTTTCACTAGCAGCGTTGCATTATAGGGAGCATGAAGTGTTGTAAGGGCGTACACAAATTGTAAATTAAATTTGAACCCTTAGTTTTTACCGTATTTGCTTGAATAAGAGCCGCACTTCCTATGAACAACGCCCTTACGTCTACGTACCTGCAGAAGACATATACAGCCAATCATCGCTTTCTGCATAGAAATAGGCAACGAATGACGAGCCCGAGAACACGATCGTCCCTAAATATGCGACCTGAGCAGATGAGCGTTTCCGCGAGATAATGTTTTCTTTGTCCCATAAATCGCCACTATTTTTCTACCGATCGGAATGATTCACTATCCTCGTACTCCGCCGGAAAGCAGACCCACAGGCTTTGTTCATTAACAGCGCGGCTATTACTCGAACAAATACGGGATGGGTTGTTTATTTTCACCGATAATCACCGTTTTAGCATCCGTGCCGAACAGATCGTCGAAATGCACAGATTTCCGAAGAATACATAAACACTGAAAAACATCCACCAACCTTCTTTATAGATAACAGCGGAAAATATGCCGAATATTTACGACCACGAGTCACCAGGACATCGAAGCTTCGTGCGTTGCGTGGCAACCATTTATAAAGGAGTATAACTCTGAACATGACACGCAGACGACGGATTTCCGGTTATCTGGAGGTGTTCTCTCGACGTAACGTAAGAAAACGTAGTCAAATGCTGCAACGTGAATGGGCCTTTGGTCTTCAAACGACTTGCCAGATACATTTTTCGAGGAATTAAGATAGTGAAAAGATATTATTCTTTCGAATCACGGTCGAGGCTAGGACGGAAAGCAGCGTGCACGAAAAGGGGAGCGGGGCCGGAGGGTGATTGGCGGTTGTGGCCAGCGTCGTCGTGACGTGTGGCTCCCCCTCTGTCCCCCTGCGAAGGAACTATGAGGAGCCGACGAAGGCGGGCATTGGCGAGGATAATATTGGCAACAAGATGCTCAAGGCCATGGGCTGGTCCGAGGGCCAGGGGCTTGGGAAGAGCAACACGGGCACCACCAACATTGTCGAGGTACGTGCCCACGGGGAGGCTCGGGGAGGCCACGAGAAGGGCGGGCCGGGGTGGTAACTTTGTGCGTGTAAAGACAAAGTCTTTGCACACTTCGCGTGTGCTGTTTTGGGGGCGGTCACGTCTGGCCCTCTGGTTTGTGTGGCCTCGCGACGGACCGCGGCGGGCACTACGAGCCGTCGCAGCCGATCCGGCTCGGTGGAGGTATTGCGTGGCTACCTGTTTCGTGGCTCTCCTCCCAAAGGGCACGCGATGCTTGCGCGGCGTTGGACTTGCTTCGATGGCTCGTAGCGCCTTCCGCAGTCTGCCCTGAGGATAAACAGAGGGCGGCGTCTCGCTGCTGCGATGTCGGGTTTCGACGTGGAAACGTCTCGGGCCACGACGTGGGAGTGAGCTTACGGAAACGACGTGTTGAAAATGGGAAAAAGACGTGCTGCGCCGTCGCCTCCGGGCGTAGGTGGCGGTACGGAGGCGTATGCACGCTGGACTGTGCCTAGCCATCTCCGACGGAGCAAGTTCAAACGTTTCACATTTTGGTCGCGCACCTATAGCTTCTGCAATTCTGGACCGATTTCGCGAATTCGAGCACCAATCGATTCGCTTGATCAAATTGCCTCTGGTGAAGGAAAAGTTCATTTTAAAAATTTAAAGAAGATGTTTCAATGGCCGTGTTTAAAAGGTAGAATGTGGTTTTGAGGGTTGCCAAGGTGCGAGTAGACACGTGTTAATTGAAAACGGCTAATCTTACCATTTTTTTAGTGTGTTCGGTGAGCGCGTAAGCGAGTAGTGTGCAATACAATCGGCTTGTGGACTTGCACTAGCCGCGCAGCCGAATCAAAAGGAAGTGTTACCATAAGAGAGCTACTATTCTGGCTTGTGTGCAAACGTCCCAGCGAAGAAACTTTGCAAGCCGTTCCTCTCGACTCCTGTGTTTTTGTTCTGTTTGTATCCTTTTTCGATATTTATTTCTTTATTTTTTTTTTTAAGATGCAGTTTACAATTTATTTCAGAAAATAGCTTAGGTATCATTCAGATTAGGGGGTAAAAAGAGAAATTTGCCTCCTAGTTGACCACTATGCCGTTTTGACATTGTGCCAATCTGGGAAAAGTTTCACTCGAAAATCGATTTAAAAATGTATATTATCCGAAATCAAGCTTCTATTTTGCCTTTACATCGATTACAGTGGGGCTTTGGATTTTATCATTTAGAAGAGCTATGCAATGATTTTCGGACCTGGCCTAATAATTTTGTGGGTTAGCGACCGTTACTTTTGGAATGGAGAGGAGGAAACCATTTTTTGCTGGTGCACATTAGCTTTAACTTAAGAAATGAAACCTCACCGTTTTCCGAGTCACATGCACGGCACAGTGATGTACCCAAGTGGGGCGCGGAGCTTCCAGTTGTGTTGTCCTTGGTGCCCCCCCGCAAGCGTTGTGCTCCCCCGATAATTCATCCCAACCACGCTCGTGAACTCGTCCCGTTCTCCGGAGGCTTCCGCCTTGCATCAGAAGGCCCTTCAAATTCCAGTATGGACAGAACAACTCCAGGGTGGAGAATAAAACTCGAGATGATTTAAATCGTGATTTAAATCCCACTATTTTTTTACTATGATGATTAAAAAAGTCTTCTTTAAATAAATTCACCAAGATATTTTTTCTTTTTGCCTTTTTTATATTGTTGGTGTTCATTTGTTTTGTATTTAAACTGAAATTCATCAATCAAGAGAAACGTGTAGCAGGCTCAGCATGAGTAAAAAGTGTTGCTCTTCCGAGAAAATCGGCCTTCCTTCTATCTTTCACTTTGTTGACTGGTTACATAATGTCCTTTTGCAAGCAAATCGGAACACAAAAGAAAAGGCAAATAACGCTTTCTCACAAACTGAAAAAATCAAGCTACTTGTGTATGTATGGCTTGGTTTACATCAAGAAAAGTTAGTTTATTAAAGTGTACTTTGAAGGCTTCAATATGCAGTAATTCTTTCTTTTGTAAGTGATTGGATGGATTGATGAATCAATCTGTCATGTTCCAAAGCAACAGTGTAGACTTTCCATTTTTCGGGGGGGGGGGGGGGGGGGTGCGCATTACCTTCTCGCCAGAACTGGAGATTGAAGCTAACGAAAGCACGCTGGGATTCCATTTCCTAGGTATTTTGTCAATAAAGGCAATGTGGGCATTATTTTGTTTACATGCCACTACTAGAAGCTCGTTACATGGCACGTAAACAGCGTCTCGGTAAGGATCATGGCCCGGGGCGGGGGGGGCCTCTGTCCCCCCGGATCTCATCAGAGGGGGCACGAGTCCCAATGCCCCCCCATAGTCTATGCCTATGTTCCAAAGTACATCTAGTGACGAAGAATCACTTCTTTTCTTTGCAGTGGTTTAAATCAAATTAATCTGATTTACAAATTTGATTTCTTTTTTTCCACCCTGGTCAGAACATTACAGCCTGTCGGCATCAGCTGATGTCTGCGGCGGGCAGTCGAACCCTAAAAGTAACAAGCTGCAAATTCTTTTAACATTGATAATTGTTGCGTGGATCTTTTGAACTTTTCAAGTCACCATAGTATAATAATGAAAACACACTCTTTTTATTATGTTGTCTCAATACCAACTGGCCTAAGTCGCCACATTGCACCATAGTATAAACCTTTCTCTAAGTGCACCTGATGATTAGAAAAACAATTTCAACCCCAGTAACATTGTTCCTGCTAGCTTCTTTACAATTTTTAAAC